GGGCAAAAAATGCGAGCTGCATTTTGTTCACAAAAAGACATGGACAGACGGACGGATTGACATGCAAAAATCGACTCAGAAAGTGATTCTATGAAAATATAACCACCTGTTGGATGGTTATCGGGTAATATTAAAGGGGAGTAATGGATGGATCGATCACAGCATTTGTGTGAAAAATACAAAAATTTTCATTCAACCGCGAATATGTTTGACACTGAAAATTATATATACATGAAGAGGCCACTTCTGACCTTTATATTGATGCTTGTTTATTGACATTTGAAAATTAGGAAACAAGACGTTATATTTGGAAGAAATTTTTAGGGTGGAAAAACTTTTTATAGGACTATCTATATTTTGAGAGTTTCGTTCATTCTTTACAAAAATATTTCTGGTCTACAGAAACTTTAAGGTAAATTATGGTGTTGTAGGTTAACTCATGGGCGGCCCCTCCACCATAGTATGGAGGCTATATTAAGTTTGTCATTCCATTTGTAACACCTCGAAATAATAAAACAAATTTTTGACTCCACAAAGTAAATATTTTCTTGATCAGGAAACAATTTTATGTCGATTAAGCGATGTCCGTCCGTCTGTTGAAATCACTCAAGCTTCCGAAGAAAATGAAGTAGGTTGATCCAATTTTACTTTTACTTATTTATGTCTGCAGGACTTTTGGTATTGAAAATGGGCCCAGTAGGCCCATGTTTTGTTAGAGCCCCCATTTAACTGTACCGGCTGATATAGTGTTTTTGGATGTTTAAGCTACAATTTTCCTTAAATTGGCGAATTAGCCGTAAATTGACAGCATGTCTTCTCATTATGTGAGAAACATCCCATTATGTTGGAACTGTCAATCTAACCCCAGATATTCGGTATTTTGATCATTTGTGTCACACTAGTTCCTAATGGTACTACATCCTTCGACAGAATCCCTATATTCGGTATTTTGATGATTGAAATTGTTTCAAATTTATTTTAATATTTTTGCCAAACTTAGATCGAATTCAGAGATGTCCAACCCTACTGGTACCTCCCCCACAAAAGGTCGAAATTTCAACAAATATATTTTCTGCACCGAAAGTAAAACGATAATACGATTTTGCACAAACTTTGCAAATCCTAATATTTCCATTATTACTAGGGCAGGTGCGAAAACGGACAACATCGGCCCACTCTATCAAGTACCTCCCCCACAAAGGATTAACATTTTTATACCCTCCACCATGGGTAGGAGGGTATATTAACTTTGTCATTCCGTTTGTAACACCTCTAAATATTCGTCGTAGACCCCATAAAGTATATATATTCATAATCAGCATAAAATTCTAAGACGATTTAGCGATGTCCGTCTGTCTGTCCGTCTGTCTGTCTGTCTGTCCGTCTGTCTGTTGAAATCACGATAGAGCCCACATTATTTGACGTAGACCTTTGAAATTTGGCACAAGTGTGTGTATTGTCCCTAGGATGGTTGGTATTGAAAATGAGATATATCGATCCACGTTCTGGTATAGTCCCCATATAACGGTACCTCCCGATATTCGGTATTTTGATGATTTATGCCACATTTTTTCACGGATTTATCTGAAAATTGGTATTTGTAGGTCATGACGGGTCCCTGAGCGTGTGGCAAAACATTGCATGTATAGGTCCACGTTTTGGTATAGCCCCCATATAACGGTACCTACCGATATTCGGTATTTTGATGATTTATGCCACATTTTTTCACGGATTTGTCTGAAAATTGGTATTTGTAGGTCACAACGGGTCCCTGAGCGTGTGGCAAAACATTGCATGTATAGGTCCACGTTCTGGTATAGTCCCCATATAACGGTACCTCCCGATATTCGGTATTTTGATGATTTATGCCACATTTTTTCACTGATTTGTGTAAAAGTTGGTATTTGTGGGTCATAATGGGTCCTAGTTCGTGTGGCGAAACATTGTAATTATAGGTGCACGTGTTGGTGTAGCCCCTATATAACGGTACCTCCCGATATTCGGCATTTTAATGTTTTTTGCCACATTTCTTCTAATGTTCTTTTACCCTAGGGTGGAGGGTATTAAAAGTTTGGCCCGGCCGAACTTAATGTTTTTTTACTTGTTATTAATTAAAATTATAAAATGTGATGTAAGAGTCCGATTGTCTTCAAATTTCACATATCCCAATATTTTACTAACCCAAGGTCTGGTGATAAGATGGAATATATCGGTCCACTCCTTCCGGTACCTCCCCCATAAAAGTTCGACATTTTCAAAAAAAAAAAAAAACAAGTAAGCAAGGGCTACAGTCGAGCGGGGCCGACCGTTGAATACCCTACAACACTATAATAAACGATACAGTTTATATAGGCGAGATACTCGAAAGAATTCCACAAGATATTGTGACAAATAATAAAAGAAAACCATCAGGTTTCGTTCTCTAATTTTCGAATAATAGCAACTTAAACTAATTTGCTCATTTCCAATTTATTGGAAGATGTTGCACATAAATGGTCTTCCTACATCTGGAACCAATATTTCCCAAAGACCCATAATCTCTCAGAAGTGGCAAAAGATTAACATTTATTATTGGTTTTTGACTAAAACGCATCTATATGAGATACAGACATTTGACTATATTCTTCATCGAAATCAGCGTTAACGAAATAGTCAGAAGTGCGTCTTTCCTGTATTTGTGAATTCTCCAAAAAGTCACTAGAATGGACATTTTCGTATTTTGCCTACAAAAGTCGTGCGTGAGGACCGGGCGATAATTACGATCTGCTGAAAATTTTGCAGTTTTTGGTCCATTTCAACCCCTAAATATATGGCGATCATCTCCAAAAAGAGTTGGCTTCTATTCTGACCCTCATCTGATCCCCATGCGAAATTTCGTAAGGATCGGGCCATAAATGCGATCTGTATATGATATCCTGAAATCCTAACTACTTAGTTTTGTTAGCTGTAGAAATATTACCAAATGTTTAATTCAAAATGAAAATATGCCAAAAATATGACAAAATTGAAAAAATATGAGAAAATTTTACAAAATCAATATTTTCATCTTTAGAGAGATGTTTTTATGCAATTTTTTTAGGCGTTTTTTCTTTTCTGCCAAGAGGCCATTATGAATTAATGAGAACTGTCGAAATCAGTTCAGCCGTTCTTGACATATAAGAGATTTTTCAAGCATATCTTCTTTGATAAACATATATATCGCACATATTTTGCTATATATCCGTTTTGTTGGATGTTAACATCACTGTAAAGATCAGGAGTAACCTTGTCATGGCTTTGTGATTTCGCCGCGATTTAAAATATTCGCGGTTTAATGAAAAATTTTGAATTTTTTCAACAAAAAAAATATGGTCTCTTTTACCCCCTAAATATTATCTGATGACCACCCAAATTGGTAGGCTTCTTCCCCGCCCTAAACTCTAGCTACATGCGAAATTCCGCGTCGATTGGTCTATAATTGTGACCTGTAGAGCAACTGCAAAATCAGCAAATTTTTCAGTTTTTGGTCCATTTCAACCCCTAAATATTATGCAATCCTCTCCAAAAGAAATAGGGTTATATTCTGACCTTAACCCCACCTACATTTTAAATTTCGTGAAGATCGGGCCATAATTGCGACCTGTAGAGTGATTACAAACTAACATGGACAGACGGACGGACCTACATAGCTAGATCGACTCAGCTCGGCGAGATAGGAAGATCCATATATACTTTCCTATGTGGGAAATCAATATTTCGTGGTGTTACATAATTTTTGGCCCAATCAAACTTATAATACCCTCAACACATAGTGTTGTAGAGTATAACAAATATTCTGCACTGAGAGAGAAGCAATAATCCAATTTTGCTCCAGCTTTGCAAATCCCAATATTAGCGTCAGTTGTACGTCGGGTGCATAAATGGATAATATCGGTCCACTCCATTAAGTGTCTCCTCCACAAAGTGTCAATAGTTTGAATAATTACAACTTTTATAAAATGTGATGTAAGCGTCCGAATGCCTTCAAATTTCACATATTACAATATTGGAATTAAGATGGAATTTATCGGTTCACTCCTTCTGGTACCTCCCCCACAAAAGTTCGATAGTTTGAATATCCATGAAGCTCATAGAACACTAAATTAACATCCGATTCCATTTAGACTTGGACCATCTGAACATTTCTATCAAAACAGGATCTGTTATAAAAACGGTGGAAATCGGACGATTCCTTCTGGTACCTCCCCCACAAAGAATTTTGAATAACCAAAACGTTTATAAAATACGAAAAAGCATAAAGTTCTCCTTTTATTTCTCACAACCCATTATTTCTACTAGCACAAGATCTGTTGTGAAGATGGGATATATCGGTCCACTCCTTCTGGTATGGTCTCATAAAAAGCGAAATTAACATCCGATTCCATTCCAGACTCGATACATCTCAATATTTCCTTTAACACAAGATCTGTTATAAAGATAGGTAGAGGTCGGACCATATTTTTTACTACCTGTCCCACATAGGCTTCAAATTTTTGAAGAACAAAACGGTCAAAAAATAAGCCTCCAACTCTCTTCAAATTTTAACAAACACTTTTGCTAATATCTGCGAACCCCTTCTGGTACCTCACTCACAAAGGGTCACAACTTTCAATACTTTTATCTGTCATAACATGCGAAATGAATCAGCGATTCTTTACAACTTGCTATATCTAAATATTTCGCTCAACCTTAAAACTGAGATGAATATAGAATTTATCGGAATGTATAATGTCGCATAAAATTGGACACAAATTTTAGAATTTCTTGTAATTTTGCCCACACCAATATTTTCTCTGCATTAGATGAAGTATGAATTTGAAATACTTCGGTCAACTTTATCTGGTACTTCACACACCTTTTAACATTTTCTAAAAATTATCACACATCTCATGTAAAGTGAAGGAAGTAAACAAAGTAAATTTGATTTTTCTGGAAAATTTTGGTTAAAAACCTACTCTGGGAAAATTTAAAACAACCACATGTTTCTCTTTTTATTTTATTACAAAAATTAAAATGTGAACTTATAGTACATAATCAAATAGATACCAAACGTACTTAGATATGAATGAAGTTTGAAAGAAAAACAAACTAATATAAATGAAAAATTACCAGTCACTAGGTTTTGCAATGTAATGTCTAATTTAAATTTTAGGATCTTGGGGAGTCAATTTGACAATTTTCACGGATTCGTTCCAAATACGAATACCCTTTTCTACATCCATAGCAGCTGGGTTTAATGTAGCTTCTTTGCAATCCATGAAATATTTACCAGTAACATTGGCAACTTCGTCGGATGTGGCCAAGTAGATGGTGGTTTGGGCACCGCCCTTGGGTGTCTTGAAGAAGCCCTTGGTAATAGCCTTCATGGGCAAGTTCAAGGGGAATGGAATATTACGCCAGATACCGGAATCAATCATACCGGGATGTAGGAAGTTAACAGTTACACCAGTGCCGGCTAAGCGTTTCGACAATTCGCGGGCAAAGAAAATGTTGGCATACTTGGACACATAATACAAATAGGCAGCGGGGAATGTGCCAATTGGGTTCAAGTTGTTTTCATTGACCGATGCCAAACGATACAACTCAGAGGCAACAATTACAATACGAGCTGGAGCACTCTTCTTCAAAAGGTCGATCAATAAATGTGTCAACAGAAAAGGACCGAAATGATTTGTGGCCATGGTCAATTCAATGCCATCCACACTGGTCTGTCCACGGAAAGCCAAGGCCATACCGGCATTGTGAATAAGAACATCAATTTTACTCTCAGTCTTTACAATATCAGCAGCGAATTCGCGCACCGACTGAAAGCTACCCAAATCCAGTTTTTTAACCACCAATTTGTTGTTGGCCGTTTCCTTGGCAATTTCATCTGTAAGAGGGTGAGGGTAATAAAAAGGCGTGAGGGCAATTAATATGAAGTTATTGGATATTTTGTTGAAGATGACTACTCACCTCTGACAGCATTGGCAGTTTCAAGATTTCTGCAGGCCATAATGATGCGGGCTCCGCGTTTAGCCAAATCACGAGCGGTTTCTTTGCCAATACCACTGTTGGCACCAGTAATTATAACAGTTTTGCCTTCCATTCTTGTCTAAAGATAAGAACAAATGATAAAAATGTCATTAGTTATTGTAAACATATTTAAGACAAATTATAATATTAATTTATATTTTACTTTAAAACAAATTGTAAGGAAAATTAAATAAATTGATCCAGAAAAGTTCTACAAATTACCAATGTTTGACAAATTACCAATGTTTCCATGTGTTATCATACATCCGGAATTTTTTAATACAAAACAATTATAGGAGGGATCAAGTTATATTAGTATATACATGGTATCAATAAAATGTAGAGTCAGTAGAGGAAAATAAGAAAAAAAAAAGATTAAGAAAAGGTCAAAAGGCTTTAGAGTAGTCACAATTTGAGAACTTTATCCAACTCGGAATTGACAATTTTGATGGAGGCTTTTGTTTCTCTAGTACCAAATAATATTGCTGTATAGTGTCTGGTATAACTTCGATAAGAATTATATTCAAAAATATTTATTGGGGCAAGGTACATAAAAATCTGTACCGATCTCTATAAAATCTGGCAGAGGCATTTCCGAGCTGTATCGGATGTCCGGTATCAAATATCCTTGTTGTGGAGTGCATATTATGCATGTAAGGGATTTTAACACCAAATCGGATGAAACATATATATGGGAGCTATAGCTATATGTGAACCGATTTTCACCAAGAAAATAAAGTACTTGCTTCTGGGCTGAGGTGCCAAAATGCAGTCCATTGGGGCTGAGATTCACCATTTGGTGCACAATAAACCTGATATCGAAAAAAGATGTATGTGGGAGTTATATCCAAATGTGAACCGATCTTGACAAATTTTAGGCACTTATTGCGAGGGACGTAAGGGACTTAAGACTACAAATCGGATGAAACATATAACTATAACTGAACCGATTTTCACCAAATTCTGAGCACTGGCTTCTAGGTTGAATTCTGACAGATATAAACCATTTGGTGCACAATAAACTTGGAACTAGATAAAGATATATATGGGAGCTATATTCAAATCTGGAACGATCTTGATAAAATTTAAGAGAGATATTTCTGGCCTGGTACCAAATATTATTGTTGAAGAGTGCATATTACGAATGTGGGGAACTTAAACGCCAAATCGCATGAAACATATTTGGAAGCTCTAGATATATCGGAACCGATTTTCACAAAATTTTTAAGTACATGCATCTAGTCTTAATTCCGTCGTATAGACTTTCTAAAGCTCATTATCTATTCAGACTAGCCCGCTTCAATTGAAATATTGGAGGACAACCTTGAATCATTTATTGGTGTGATATCGCCCGAAATGTTGGAAATAGTGTGTCAAAATGGGACTAAACGGATGGACCATTTAAGGCACAGTCGTGGTCAACATTTGTACGAGATTATCTTCAATCATTAAATTATATGCACCGTACAATCAAAATACATACTTTTTTTTCTGAATTTCATATGTTTTTTATATGGCATTCCGTTTGTAACAACCCTAAATACTTCTCGTAGACTCCATAAAGTATATGTACATATTCATAATTAGCATAAAATTCTAAGTCGATTAAACGATGTCGGTCTGTTTGTTTTTTTTTTTTTTTTTTTTTTTATTTTTTTTTTTTTGAACACATACCTTTAAGAACATAGAACCCTATGCATGTTTTCGTGAATGAAAAAAAAAATAGAAAAATAAAAAACCTTCACCTTCAAAAAAACCTTCCAATTTGGCGATTAGAACATTTTACTATTAATCTATTTATTCTAGATCCAAACATCTATTTTCAACCATTTTCGTAAAGAGTGAAACTTTGTGAAAACGTAACCGATCTCCATGTTGTAGTGTTGCAAAAAAAATTAATTAATTATTATCAATTTTAATTGTGAGTAATGTAAACACTTAAGTTTTTGCACTAAGTTATAATTATCGGTTAATTAGCTTTTAAACAAACAATTGCTATAAACAAACAATTGCTTTGAAACAGCTTAACCTGCGACACTAGGCATCAAAGTAAACACATTTGTAAAAAAAGGGAAATAACAGCAGCAATTTAACTAAATGATGTTAAATTCAGAAAGAACAAGTAGGAATGTATTAAGCTCGGTCGGGCCGAACTTTGAATACCCTCCACCATTTGGAACGAATTTGGATATTAAGAAAAAACATAAAATCCGTTAATTTTTTTGTTAATCTTTAAAATAGCCGTTAAATTGGGGTTCATATGAAGGCGTGAACCTGCATAGGCAACTTTCGTCATAAGCTATTACAATATTCAAATACGAAACTTGTAAAAAAAAATCGGTGAATAATGTAGCTAAAACCATCAAAATACCGAATATAGTGAGGTATCGTTATATCGGGCCTATGCAAACACCTGGACCTGCATAGACAATTTTCTGCAACCTGTTGGGAATTTCAAATACGAAATTTCAAACAATTTCGGTGAATATTGTACCTAAAATCGCCAAAATACCGAATATAGGCAGGTACTGATATATGGGGCCTATACGAAGACCTGAACCTCCATAGACAATTTTCTGTCAAAGACTGTAGTTCCCATTACCAACTCTAAATACCAAATTTGAAACAACTCCGGTGAATAATGTCCCTAAAATCGGCAAAATATCGAATATCGGTGGGCACCGTTGTATGTGGGTTATATGATATCGTTAACCTTTATATAAGTTTCTCTTCCAGGGGGTAAAGTGCTTAGAAAGAACGTCTAGTATGGATTAGAACTTCTATTATATTACAAAATTCCATTGAAACATGTGGCTAAAATCATCAAAATACCGAATATTGTATGTGGGCTGTACGATATCGTGAGCCTATATTGACATTTCTCTTCCAGGGGGTAAAGTGTTTATAAAGAACTTCTAGTACGGATTTTTAGACAATTTCATTGGAAAATGTGCCTATAATTCTCTTACAGAGGATAAAGTACTCAGAAGGGACTCCTTGTCTGGATTTTCAGACAATTTCATTGAAAAATGTAATATCATAAAAATATCGTATATCGGGACGTTCCGTTATATGAGGGATAAACAATATTGTGGACCTATATAGACAATACTCTTCCAAAGGATGAAGTACTCAGAAGCAACTCCTGATGTGGATTCTCAGATAATTCTATTGAAAAATTTGGCTACAATCATCAAAATACCGAATAACGGGAGGTACCGTTATATGGGGGATATACGATATCGTGGACCTATATAGACAATTCTCTTTCAGGGAGTAAAGTACTCAGAGAGAACTCCTTGTGTGGAATTTCAGACAATTTCATTAAAAAATGTGGCTACAATCATCAAAATACGGAATAGCGGGAGGTACCGTCATATGGGGGATATACGATATCTTGCACCTATATAAAAATTTTTCTTACGGGCGGTAAAGTACCCACAAAGAACTCTTTGTGTAGAATTTCAGACAATTTCATTCCAAAATGTGCCTATAATCATCAAAATACCGAATATCGGGAGATACCGTTATATGGGAGCCGTACGATATCGTGGACCGGTATAGCCCATCTTCGCAAAAATTTAACTTCCTATCTTAATTCGTTTTAACTCTAGCGTGATTACAACAGACGGACGGACAGACAGTGATAAATCGTCTTAGAATTTTACGCTGATTTGTTAGGTCTTAGGTTATTATTTGGATTTGTTACAAACGGAATATACCCTCCCTAATATACCCTCCATACTAATGGTGGTGGAGAGTATAAAAAATGAAAATGTATAAATCAAAATCTTAAACAAAACATCATATCCAGTTGTATTTTTAGAACTTTAAAACAAGTTTACATACACAAAATCCAGTGACGCATGCACAAGGAATTGACATTTGAAATCCATTGGATTTCATATAATTTTGGAATCCCATTTATGTCACTATAAATATAAAAATATTTTTTTTTTTTTAATATTCAAAATTAGTCTTGTATGTGAGTTTTTGGTTGGTCAAATATCTTTCACAGTCCTTTTTTTGAAGAAAGTGTAATGATTTCGTTAGAAATAATATATTCTACAGGTGTGCCATAGTTCCTCTACAAATTCTTTAGTAGGCTTTTATAATATTTATCAACTTTTTTACAATCTTTGTTTTAAGCTCTGATCAAATTCACCCGTACTAGTGTTGTAATTTATTTCTTACTACAAGTCGTTTACACCTCTTTATTTACATTACATACATACATATGTGGATATGCCCAATTAAGATTACGTAGGAATTGTAAATTTATTTAACAGAGGAAATTCCATAAAACCACAATTACTTTTTTATTTAATATTTGAATAAATTAAGAGTGGAAGTTTAGAGGAAAATTTATTAATGTTTTTTTTTTTTTTTTTTTTTTTGAATTGCCAATAGCCAATAGGGTCAGAGTATATATTTGTGGGACAGAGCAAAAGGGTGGAAATAAAAAAGTTTCCGTTAAACATAACAAAAACAGAAAAGAAAAAAAAAAACAAAATTATTACCTCGGTGAAACACCTTCCCGCCGTAATACGCAAATAAAAACGCAGACTAAACAAAGAGGCAATAATCGCTGAGATGACAGCCATTATGAAAATATCTCGTGCATAATTTTCAGATGGTGGTAACAAGGCCAATAGACCCATCTACAAAATACATACACATACATTTAAAGATAGTAATAATTTGTATATGAGGAGAAAGAAAGATTATATAAAAAATGCATTAATATTTATTAGGTGCTTTTGATTGCATTCACATTCGGATTGAGTTAATCAATAATGCTGTGCTATTGACACAAACCATGGTTGTTATTTCGCATTCATATTAAATATTTAAGTCGATGAAATTAAATTTAAATAAAAACGCAATAAGGTTGAGGTTTTTATGCAATTTTTATAACCTACAAAAAGATACACGCATTGTAGTTTTGGCTTTGCAATATTAATTTTACTTCTATTGAGAGATGATCATGACAAAAATTTAGCATCGAATGGAAATTAAAATAGCCTGTAAAGCTACAATAATTTATTTTGCCGTTTCTAAAAGAGGACAATGCTGTCTAACTAGCAGAAATTTACCATATCGCTAATTTACTCAGAGTGGCAAAACTAAAAAAAAAATGCATTAACAATTTCTATTTTCTCTAGGAATCTTACTTTACCATTCTATAAAATGTGCATGTTTATATCCGGAGAACCCAAAAAATTACATGTTTTACTTGAAGTTTGATATAAATCAACAAAGTGCTTGGTCCAGATCTTAAGAGAAATAAGTTTTTCTATACCCTCAGCCATATGGCTACAGAGCGTATAAGGGTGAGATGAAAGAAGTGCAACCAACTTCAGACTGCTGTCATTTCCAAGCCACTTGCCCGACAGCTGTTAAAATTATTTTACTGACAGCTTATTATATTTTTTACAATCGTACAAAAGCATTTTGGAAAGAATTCTCCAGAAAAGAAGTTATTCGTGTTGGAATTTAAGCGTGATAGTGGCTATCGTTAGAGCACTCCAGCATTTAAATGTGAATAAATCTTTTGTGTCTCGTACCATCGCTCGTTACCGTGATACTGGTGGCGTAGCCCGACGTCAAGGAAGTGAACGGAAGAAAACAGCAAAATCAGCAGAAATGGTTCGAAAAATAAGGAAGCGACTTGAACGAATCCCGCGTCGCAATGGCCGAAAAATGGCTCGTGAGCTAAACATATCGCAATAGTCCATTTGGCAAATATTGAAAAATGTGCTCGGGGTAAAGCCATTGAAATTCCAAAAAGTGCAAGAACTTACACCGCAACAGAAAGAAAATAGATTCAGAAGAGCTATAGAGTTGCTTCGCCTGGCGGAAAGTGGTGAACTGCTGAATTTGGATTTCTCTGATGAGAAAACATTCGTTGTCCAACAGTTTGTAAACAAACCAAATGATCGTGTTTACTTGCCGAAGAGGTCAGCTGAAAATGTGCACCTTCGTTTGGCCACCAGAACTCAAGCGCCGGCCATGGTGATCGTGTGGGCCCCAATAACAGCCGATGGTCGTGACATCAGAATAAATGCCGAATATTATCGCGTAAATATTCTGGAGGGTGTATTAAAGCCTTGAGCACGCAAACATTTTAGCCGCAGACCTTGGACATTGCAACAGGACTCAGCACCCAAGAATGGTTACAAAATGAGCCACAAAAATCTCCAGACACTATTCCGTTGGACTATTGTGTCTGGAGTATTTTGGAAAGCAAGGTTGGCACTAAAAATACCAAAGTGTCGATCACCTCAAGCAAGCGCTTCGCCGGGAATGGGTCAAAATACCGCAGAGCAACATTCGGGCGTTTGAAGGCCATAATTCGTGCCAAAGGTGACCAATTCGAATAAATCTAAACGTATTCTAAGATTTGACGCTATTTCCGAAATTGTTTGCTTTCTTTCAATAAAATCAAAAAAAAAAAAAAAAAAATGGCGTTTGACTTTGTTGTAGTTTTTTATCTCATATATCATTTGATACAGCCAAAACGTGCCTCAACAAAATAACGGTCCTAGACCCTAAGTCTCTTCGGACCAAATCCGTTTCAGGACTTTCCAATTCAGCCCAAAATTGGTACATCGTAATGTTATTATAAAACTTAGAGCGAGTTCGGAGATGGGCAATATTGGTCCACTCCTTTTTGTACCTCTCCCACTAAAAGGCAATATTTCAAAGAATATCTTTATAAGAATATATTTTGTTCAAACTTGATAAATCCTAACATTTGTATAAGTGCTAGGTCAGATGTGAATATGGGAAATATCGGCCCATTTCCAGCCAGTACCTGCTCCACAAAGGGTCAATCTTTGGAATCATTTTAACTCTTATTAAATCTGAAAAAAGTGTCCGATTGCCTTCAGATTTCGCACATACCAATATTTCTATCAACATAAAATCAGGTGTGAATATGAACAATATTGGTCCATTTCCAGCCAGTATCTCCTCCACAAAGTGTCAAAATTTTGAACAATTATAACTCTTATAAAATCGTAAACGAGAATCCCATCTTCTTCAAATTTTGCACATACAATTTTTTTATTAACACAAAATCTGGTATGAAAATGGAATATATCGGTTCGTTCCTCCCACACAAAGGGGTTAAAATTTTAAATAATCATTGCTCATAAATATTTTGCAAATCGACCAAAGACTTGGATTTCCATTGCCCAAACCGCCATTTTTGGACATAAACGACGTAAAATATTAAGCCCATTCTATTGTATACATTTTAAAACCAAGATTGCCAAAAATTAGATCATCATATTTGAAGGTGTGGCATGTTATTTTATAAAAGACGTTTTTTAAATTTCTAAAGAGCAAATAATGTTTCTTTACTATTTTTAAAATTTTTCCACACTGGAAGGGCAAAACATTATTGAATCTCAACAAAACTAACACCAAAGAACAGACAACAACCTTGGATGTTGGCTCTTATTTGCAAAAAAAAAAGTCTATACATTTTACAAGCTTGTGCACAAAAATGATATGTTAATTTTGATATAAAATAGTTATGAACAGGTTTCATTACTCAACCATAATTATGGCAATATTACTTAATACATGCAATAACTACAAGAAATTGTATTGAAAACGAAATCGAAGACGATGAACCACAAAAAAAAATTGAGGTCATATTTGATGTGACGGAAACACTGTGGTAAATCGTGGATATATTTCATACTGTTTTATGGACATGGGTAAATAAGTAACAGTAGAGACAGGTTAATGCAACATGAACATTTGAAATGAAAACTCGAAGAAGTTTTCTTTCTAACCATCGTAAAAAAACAATGACAATAAGAGACTTATTATTAAAAAAAATCAACAAAGTCCCATTCGTTAGCGGGTCTTGAAGGTGGTAAAAAAATTAAAAAGTTGTCAAATCGGAAAATTGAGTCTGCTACAAGATATTACATTAAATTTATAAATTGTTCCAAATTTCTTAATTTCTCCATGAAATTTTAACTAAAAATTTTTAAAATTTTAAAAATTTTAAGATAATCTTCTTGAATTGACAGTTCTTCTTTTTTAGATCAAAATAATGTTAAACTTTAAAATCAATTTTAACCACTGTAGCCCACAAAAAGGTAGCTAACCCGCACTGATACCAACATGGCCATCAAATCAATTATTACACAAAACAACACATTGGTATTTACGAAATGTATGTAGCTGGTGTTGGTATTACAAAACAACAAAACCAATATCAAGGGGGAATCACTTTCGCTTTAAAGTTGACATAAGCTCGTAAAACCCAAAAAAAAAAATGTTTTGCCGAAAGGTTGAATCGTTTGTTTGTAGATAACCCAAAAAACAAAATCACCCATACAGATCAACGTAACAATGGGTGGAAAAATAAGAAAACCAAAAAAAAAAAACTTTATCAAAGTTCAATGTCGACATGAAGACAGAAGAGAAAAATAAACAACAACAACTAAGCATACATATAAACAAAAAGCCAAACACCAGCAATAAGAAACTTGAAGTTAATGACCGTTCACGTAAAAAAAACGAAGATGGAACGGAAGAAGAAAACTACCACGTCACAAAATACTATGAACTTATTTCCAAACTATTTTCATCTTCCATCTATAATGAACCCCAATTTTATCATTATAACCACTTTCCAATTACATTTCACATTTTTATTTAATAAGACACTTTTCTCAGACACTTTTTGTTGGCTTTTTTAGGAATTGTACTTAATTATATTTGTCACATGTGTATAAAAAAACTTACCTTTTTATGTTAATTATATAGTGTTATTTTATCTACTCAGCTGTATTTTTCTTCCAACAGCAACCAAAAATTCACAACCTTCGCCTTGAACGTTTTGTTTAAGACTGGTCTTTATAGCCATGAATTGAGCGGCTGTATAGTAAAGCTCACGTTTAAGCCATATCAATGTGTATGTATAGTTTACTCTATTATTATGGTGTTGTATTTGGCCCACTTCAGATGCCGACTCTATACCGACTGTTGCAGCAACAACAACAAGTTATTTATGTGCTGAGATTGCATTTTGATTTTGTGTATGGTTTAAAAACGAAAAAATACTCTGAGTAAGTATTTTATATATCTTGTAACTTTGTTTGTTTCGGTCTGTCTACTATCGAAGATGCATCATTGCTGAGAGAGTGAGAGAAAATCATAACAATTTGATGCTGTTACTTTTCGTTAGTCTCCCACAAACTTATTGTGGAGAAATCAAGTTTGTTACTTAAGTCTTTTGTTTATATTACCATAGCAAGAGAAAAAAGCTATGACATGTTGAATTTGATTTTTTCTACAACACTCTCTAACTTTATAATTATGATCAAAAGCTGACATTTCATTAAGAAAATTAAAATGTGTATTTGTGTCAGAGTTTATTAGCGCCCCTGTTATATATTTTTGTCGCAGAGAAATAATCACCAACCTCAAACAAAACTCTACATTATAAGCATATAATGTATGTAAAAAAAGGTTATATGGAAATAAATGAATTTTCTTCCATTAATCCAAGCAACTTTGGTTACAATCCTCGTAAATTTTAAACATTCACTCTATTAGCCATTGGAGCATAATGCGAGCATGAGGTTTTACCCATTGATTTTTCAATTGTTCCATTCGAAACAGTATGGGATTGTAAAAGATTTTTAAGCGTATCCTCTAGAAACAATTTGGAAATACAGATATGTAATAATATACATTTATACGGATATATGTTTGATAATCTACGAGTACCAGTCCTCTTCTGCATTACCCATCTGTTAGGCCGAATAGTTTTTAGAAACAGTGCTGGAAAATTCATAATAATATGCTAGTGAATTTTCATAGCGACTTCCTTCAATCTGTGACAGGATCTGTGGGAGGAAATACATCTACATTTTGAAAAATATTCGCGATACTATTAAATCTACAGGGTGAGATAAAAATCTGCAACAAAGTCAAACGCCATAAATGTTTACATTTTTTTTTGGAAATTTCATTGAATGAAAGCAAAAAATGTCGGAAATAGCATCAACTTTTAGAATAAGTTTAGATTTGTTTCGAATTGGTCACCTTTGGCACGAATTATGGCCTTCAAACAGCCAATGAAACCACCAGACGCTGCCCGAATATTGCTTTGCGGTATTTTGGCCTATTCCCGGCGAAGCGTTTGCTTGAGGTGATCGAACCTGTGGTATTTCCTAGTGCCAACCTTACTTTCCAAAATACTTCAGACACAATAGTCCAACGGATTGGTATCCGACGATTTTGGTGGCTATTGTGCGCTGGAAATGATGCGAGGAACCTCATTTTGTAACCATTCTTGGGTGGCGGGTGCTGAGTGCGATGGTGTTGAGTCCTGTTGGAATGTTCAGGGTCTGCGGGCAAAATGTTTGTGTGCCCAAAGCTTTAATACACCCTCCAGAATGTTTTCGGTATAATATCCGGCATTTATTCTGATGCCACGGTCGATTAATACGAGCGGAGAGCGATCATCACCATGGTCGACGCTTGAATTGGTGGCCAACCGAAGGTGCACATTTTAGCTGACCTCTTCGGCAAGTAAACACGATCATTTTGTTTGTTTACAAACTGCTGGACAACGAATGTTTTCTCATCGGAGAAACACAAATTGGGTCGGTAACCACTCTCGGCCAAGCGAAGTAAATCTTTAGCTCTTTTGAGTCTATTTTCTTTCTGTTGAGGTGTAAGTTCTTGCTCTTTTTGGAATTTCAATGGATTTACCTTGAGCTCATTTTTCAATATTTGCCGAATGGAATATTGCGATATGATCAGCTCATTAGCCATTTTTCGGCCACTGCGACGCGGGTTTCGATGAAGTTGCTGCTGTTTTCTTCCGTCCACTTCCTTGACGTCGGGCTACGATACAAGTATCACGGTAACGAGCGATGGTACGAGGCAAAAAAGATTTGTTCACATTTAAATGCTAGAGTGCTCTAACGATATCCACTTGTGGTTTTCCAGCCAAATATAAAGAAATCACACTATCACGCTTGAATTCCATCACGAATAACTTTTTTCTGGAAAATTCTCTCCAAAATGCTTTTGTACGCTTGTAAACAATATAATGAGCTGTCATTGGAATAATTTTAACAGCTTTCGGACAAGTGGCAGTCTGAAGTAGGTTGCAGTTTTATCATCTCATCTGTACATTTATACGGATATATGTTTGATAATCTACGAGTACCAGTCCTCTTCTTCATTGCCCATCTATTATGCCCAATAATTTTTAGAAGCAGTGCTGGAAAATTCATCATAATATGCTATTAAATTTTCATAGCGGCTTCCTTCAATCTGTGACATCTACGTTTTAAAAAATATATGCGATGCTATGGAATCTTTATAGAAACAATACTCAATAATTTTTGTATTTCTTGATTTCACACATAAATGTGGGCGAAATTAATTGGTTATTCTCTAGAATTGTTTGAAGTAAACGAACTTTGATTTTTCATGTACATATTTAAGGATACACCACTTATTTTCCACCCATCTAAAACTAATATGATTTTTTTAATATACCCATAGAGAACATTAGGAAAGAACGATTAAGGGAAGTTGGTGATAGATTCTAATGTGAGAATTAAAAAATACTATATGTCCAAGAAAACAAACCATTTCAAAAAATTTCTTAAACATACACTTTGAAAGTTTACAAAGATCCACCACTTCAAAGTAATATCAGCTAAAATAAAATAAATTAAGGCACAGTCGATCGAATTCAGTCTGTCAAATTGATTGTAGCATTATTATTGTAGCAAAATTTTTGAATGAATATATTAGGTATTTTAATGATTTTATCTACATTTTTCAATGTCTAAAAATCCATACTAGAAGTTCTTTCTATGCACTATAGTCCCTGGAAGAGAAACATTTTCACCGGATTTTTTTTTCAAATTTCTTATTTGAATATTGTAATAGCTTCAGACAAAAGTTGCCTATGCAGGTCCACGTCTTCGTATAGATCCCAATATAAAGGCTAAATTCGGCATTTTTAAGATTTTAACAGATTTTATTTTTTGACAATTTCCGAATTCGTTCCAAGTGGTGGATGGTACTCAAACTTCGGCACGGCCGAACTTACTGCTTTTTTTACTTGTTTTCAATATTTATTTGCTTAATCCAGGTTCATATAATTCACCGGATTTTTTTTCAAATTTCTCATTTGAATATTGTAATGGCTTCAGACAAAAGTTGCCTATGCAGGTCCACGTCTTCGTATAGATCCCAATATAAAGGCTAAATTCGGCATTTTTAAGATTTTAACAGATTTTATTTTTTTGACATGGATGGTACTCAAAATTCGGCACGGCCGAACTTACTGCTTGTTTTACTTGTTTTCAATATTTATTTGCTCAACCCAGGTTCATATAAGACGACGATGCTGATTGCGATTTATGCTATGGATCGTTACAAATTTGGTATTTGCAGCTCATAATTGTCAATATATAACTGTACTTTCCAATACTCGGCATTGAAAGTTCCTACTAAAATAAATACCATAACTTTTGTTCAAATCGAAATTTTACCAATTTTTTACTGATTTAATTTTACTGATGAAGATAAGAATGGAAAAGTCCAAAAGTAAACATTTGTTTTTGACTATGTATCCTTAGTGTACACATTCCCCTAATACTGAAATAATCTTCCGTACCTTTGACTCTATTCGTGACATTCAAATTTTAACTTTTTTTCCCGACGCCGGTGGGTCAGTCACCACATTTATAAAGAACTAGCTGGCCCGGTCCGCGTTGCCGGCCCGTAGTTTTTGTCTATCTATATCTATAAAAGAGGAAAATGTTTGTACGTTTGTTTGTTTGTTTGTTTGTTTGTTTGTTTGTAATTTATGGACTCGAAAACTGCTGAATATATTTTTCTGAAAATTTCCATATATACTGCAACATCGCCTGAAAGTAACATAGGCTATATAAATTTTTGAATTTCCACTTGGAACTGGAGATATAGCATCAGAATCGGAGGTACCTCCCAAAAATTTAGATTTTATATGCACATATCTATTGATTGGTTGAAGATACAGTCTCCACATTTGGAATGTGTAACGGAATTTGGAACAAAAATAAGTTTGCTAAATTATATTGTAATCGGTTCAGATTTGGATATAGCTCCCATATATATTTTCGACCGATTTCGTTCATTTGATGCCTCAAACACAATATGAATGTTCGATTCCAATGAAATTTGGAATATGTGACGGGATTTGATCCGAAAATAAATTTGTCAAATTATATTGAAATCGGTTCAGATTTGGATATAGCTCCCATATACATTTTCGGCCGATTTCATGTGATTGGTGGACCAAACAAGATATGTATGTCCAAATTTAATGAAATTTAAAATAAGTAACGGAATCGGGAGCAAAAATGAATTTTTCAAATTATATTGAAATCGGTTCAGATTTGGATATAGCTCCCATATATATTTTCGACCGATTTCATGTATTTGATGCACCAAACACGCTATGTATCTCTAATTTCAATGAAATTTGAAATGTGTAGCGGAAATTAAAACAAATATACATTTGTCAAATTATATTAAAATCGGTTCAGATTTGAATATAGCTCTCATATATATTTTCGACCGATTTCATGTATTTTATGCACCATACACGATATGTATGTTCGATTTCCAAGAATTTTGGAATATGATTAGAAAATAAATTAGTCAAATTATATTAAAATCGGTTCAGATTTGGATATAGCTCCCATATATATTATCCGCCGATTTCACATATTTGATGCACATTTGACAAATTATATTCAAATACGCTCAGATGTGATTATAGCTCCATATATATACTCAGCCGATTTCACATATTTGATGCACCCAAAGCGAGAGAGACAAAATCTGGCACCAGCAAAAATTGCACAATTATATTGAAATCAGTTGAGGTTTGGATATAGCTAACATATATATTTCGGCCGATTTCATACATATTATGCATCAAACACGATATATATGACCGATTCCAATGAAATTCAGAATGTGTGGCGGAATTTTGTTAAAATAACAAATGTGATAAATTAATTGGAAATTAGTTAAGATTTGGATATAGCTCCCATATATATATTCTCGGCCGATTTCACATATTTGACGCACCAATTTCAATTAAATATGAAAGGTGTAGCGGAGTTTGGTGTAAAAGTATTTTTTTTTAAATTATATTTAAATCGGATCAGATTGGGATATGATTTTAATAAGAACCATTGACCCACAACGCCTTAGGCTAACACTAAAAAACAACACAACAATTTATTTGAAATACGCTTATTACGGCGAAGTATGTTGCTATCTCGAATTCACTACTTGCAATAGAAATGCCACTCTACTTAAAAAAATTGCAGTTTCCTGCACGCTTGGTATTTGCTATGAAATAAATAAATCCAAAGGACAAACCCTTCGTGTATGCATGTCATGTTACTGCTTTTGTAATGATTTTGTTTATTAACGCATTAAATTAGTGCAATATTTTTTTTAATTTTTAAATTTGTTTTTCTTTATCCAACATATATTCGTAAATAAAATTTTGAATGCATATAAAATCAAAAGGGGTAGCGAAGCGCACCGGGTTCAGCTAGTTATTCATATTTGTCAAAGCATAATTATTCAAAGATATGAATGTTATAAATGTTCACGTACTGGTCGATTAGTTTTTAATTTTTAGTCAAATGAGCAGTAATTTGGAAATTACTGTACTTTGCACACCTCATAATTGAGGGCTAATTGATTTAAGAATAGCCAAAGTTAATTACTTTTTTAAAACCATTAGCACCTCAGATTGTGCATTAGAGTCCTCATAAGTCCCCCTAACCATGTCGGTTTGTTTGTCCGCCAAAAGGTGGACTTAAAGGGGGTTCTATTACATGGAGAAAATTCTAAAATTTGTAGATATGTTGAAATTTTGTGTAAGATTTTCACCCCCAAATACACATTTTTAGCCAAATCCTTTGAAATATGGTAAAATGCGAAACATCGACCTACATTGAAAACTTTCTTCACCCCTTATAATCCAAGATGACAAATGGAGGCCAAATCGAAAATATAGCAGAACAACATAGCATGTCATACTGAAAAAAAATCACGTGATTTAAATAAGTAAAAATAGTTTTATACACCTCATAATTGAGGTCAGACTGATTTCAGAATAGTCAATTATAATTACTATTTTACACCCATTACCGTAATATGGGAGCTAATTTTATTTGTCATTTAAATTGTAAATTGGAGACCCCCCAAAGTCCATATTTATCATCATTGTATAATTCAATGACGATTCAACAAATATTTGGTCCCGTGCTATTTTCTTATATTTGAAATTTGTTCATGTTTTTACAATTTATTTGATATAAATATACATCCCAAACTTACGTTTCCAACCAATATTCTCTTGGGGGTTACAAATTCAATAGAATACAAATTTTTCTTTTCTGACCACACATTAGATGTGAAAGTGAACTTGGGGATACTCCAATGTGGGGACTTTACATGAATAAATTTCTATGTGGCAATTATCTGTACGATGGTTCCTTACCCCAGGGTAGCATAAATACAATTTTTTAGTGGTCAAGACCAATATGGGCCCTACTCCGAAAATTTTATGCGAAGAGGTTCTCTACCCCCTTAGAAACAAAGATGCCAAATAAGAGCCAAAAATAGAAGAAAGTGGCGAAGACTCCAAAAATGGCTTAAATCACACGATGGTTATTTATGATCGATATCATGACCTGCAAAAGCGATTTAAGGTATTTTACTGATTGTACTCCCAAAAATTTTTGCATTTCGCATCTTCCAGCTGAAGCACGATGTAGGCCCTGGAGTTGAAAGGTAGATGTCAGTTACCATCGTATTTCGCACCTATTTCATTTTTTTGGTGAAAAATTGTATATAGTGAAAAATTACTCTTTATTTTGTTAAAAAAAAACCAATGAAATTTTTTTCGATATTTTCCCGTTTTGGGAATTGTTGCAATGAGATCTCTTTTTTCGTGTTTTTTAATGATTTTGAAATAGTAATTATCTTTTAACTTTGGTGTGACCGCATTAAATTATTTCGGTATCATCTATTCCGTTTCGCCACTACATAATTCGGTACTACACTTCCATGTAACCAGTCATCAATTTCAGTTCTCAAGAAATCAAGTCAATTAAATAAATTGGTATTAATATTTGAATTCAAAAATAAAATATAAAAACACTACAAATGTAAATTAGCAAAAGTAAGTCAAAATGGAAAAAAATCATGCAAAATAAAACATTACTATTGTACATTTCAAAAGTCAAAATGAAAATGTTAATATATTACATTTTTACGCGATTTTTTTGGATATTATCCTTTTCGGAGAGGACACAATTCCGAATTTGTATGAATCGTTAAAATCAGATCAGCGGTTCTGGAGTTATAAGCGTAGTAACTAACACAACTTTCATTTATATATATAGATAGATTTCAAGTTATATTTTATTAAGAAATTTTTTTGTTTAATTAATTGTTTAAAATAAATAATAACGTATTTGATATACATGTGTATTGGTTTGTTTAGACAATAGAAAATAAATATGGATAATGTGTAAATATATATAAATTAAATGCATAATTTATAAAATATTATTTTATTTAAGATTTACGATATACTTCGTTGGCAATTTCATTCGTTGAACTTTCCAATTGTTTTGTTAATGAGCTGTACCATTCATTGACATGCTGCGATAAAATATCAACAATTTTCGATACTTGACCTTTAAAGGTTTTCATTAATTTCTTTCCCATAGAATCGATCTCATTATCCGTCTCAGATCTTGTACTGCGTACGGCTTCATCGACTTTATGTTCAAAGGCACGCATGCGTCGTGGGAATAAATTACTAGCGGAACCAATGGGCTGGTCATCATGGTCAACCAAATTTTTGTGTACGGGATCAGTCGGAGTTTCTGTATCTACTGAACGTTTAGAACGTAGGGGTGACAAATCCCACCAAGGTAATTCGTCAAATTTCGTTTTAACATTTCCTAAGCCATGACTGTTGGGTGTTGTGGACTGATCGGCGTCATCGACATCCACGCCATTTTTGTTATTTTTATTTGTTTCTCCAAAAATATTACCGGACATAAAATTTGAGAACGGTGTAGACTTAGGCTTATTGGATGCTTCTGATTGTTCATCTTCTTTGGAATCTTCGTCACTACTATCTTCATCAGTGTTCTGGCTTTCTTTGTTCTTTTCACTTATTTTCAATTGGGCTTGAGCAAACTCCTCGGCATTTTCTTTCAAAGAATCTTCATTGAAATCGGCGTCCTTATTAAACAATTCTTCAAAATTCTTACCAAATACATTCACTTTATCTTTTCCAAAAGGTTTATTGTAGTTCTCCGAAAAGAGTAACGAATTTAAAGAAGTCCCTAAATTCATATTATTTGCCATTATTGGCTGGGAAGAACTGAGTTGAGGTAATGCTTCATAGAATTCAGTGGGCAATAAACGCAGTGGCTTCATTTCACTGACAACATCCTTATTGGTCTTAAACTTTTCCAAATTTCTAGTTTGCTTTCCCGTTTCTATTTGCAACTCTTCATCCACCAAGTCATCTCCATTGATATTGGCTATGTTTTGCAGAAATACATCACCTTCGGGTATTTTTATATAATCCGGTTCCGTTTGAAAGCCAACATTTTTAAAAAATTTTTCTTCATCGAATTCCAAGTCGTCAAAGGTCAGTTTGTTAAGCTTCTTGTCGGGCTTTTTAATTTCGGTTATCTTTTTGACAAAGGCTGTCTTTTTGCCATCTCGAGTCATAAAAAATGGTCCATTATACGTATCAGAATTTCGCGCTGTTCGTCGCAACAAAGGTAAATCCATATTTAGGGGTTCATTAAATAATTTCTCTAACCATTCCATGGCTTGCTTTCTTTTCGATGGTGTAAACACATCTCGTTTGAGTGGAAATCGTAGGTTTTCAGGAAGTTTTATACTATCTGCCAAGGTCTTCAAACCCTCAGTGCCAGCTGCAATGGTATCTTCTAAAATGAATCTTTTCTGTCGTTCATTAACCACATCCAACGAACGTCTACTACGGTATTTTTTGTTGCGACCCAAAGGAGTTCTGGCTGCCTCCTTGATCAGTTCCTTGAGTAAACGATCTGTGGAGGAATATCTTTTTACTTTCTCTACTTCGATTTCTTCACTTTCCGGTTCGTTAGAAATGTTCTCCTCTTCGATTTCCGTAAATACACAATGTTCCATGTTAACATTGGGCAGAACAAAAAAGGTTACCGATAGCCCTGGTGTCTTCAGTTGCACCGATGATTGTCCGGATTTTCGTTTTATTTCTGGTAGTAGTGTCGAATTTATATTCACTCTCTTATTGTTCAGCAGAACTCTATCATCGTCCATGGTCAAAGCGTATTTCCATAATTCCGTATCACGAAGTTTAGTTGTTGAGCGAACCGAGATTGTCAAGGTCATTTCTTGTTTATTGATTACCATAAAGGCCAGACCACCTGATACATTATTGGCACAGTGTGTGTATAGTTTGTTGTTGCGTCCAAACAATCCTGTCAGCGGTTTGGCGTCAAACACGCGAGAGCCCATAATTTTTTTAAACAACGCCGTTACAAAAAAACTGAATTTAGGATTTTCCAAATCAGACAAGGACATATGTTTGAATATTGTATTAAAGCCACCGTGGGCAGCATCACCCATTGTTTGAGCCCAATCTAAGCCCTCGTTCAATTCTTCGTCCATCATGGACATCATTAGAGAGTTATGATTTTCGGGAAGTGTCAGCCAAACTGGCACCTTTTCTTTGAATAATACCTTCAAAGCAGGATCTTGCTCCTTGAGAACGGCACTTAAACTATTGCCGAGGAACGTGTCGGGAGATCTGTGAAAGAAGAATAATAATTTGGATATGAAAAATATATTGTAGCATATTAGTCCGGTTTGATGATAGCTGTATATCCTTAGACTATTGCACCTAACATTCCATCTTCGAATTTGAGTTAGTCTTTTAGTAATAAGGTTGATTATGACTTACTATTCTATGACGTGACTATTCTAAATTCTGACCCTTTATGGGTACCGGAAGTTATGGACCAATTGTGTCCATTTTCGACTCTCAACTAAGTTTTATGCTGAATCGTGTACTTCTTAAGCTTTTCTTTTATTAATATTACTTACTCAACCCATCCAAAGGCGGTATTTAAATTGCGAGACATTTCGATATAACGACGTGTTTCATCTGGGCTACTGCCGGATGAAATGTCAGCACCCATAATTTGCCAATTATTATCGGCATCCCTAAATGAATCCACCATTAAATTGAATGTTTTCAATTCGTTAACATAATCCGTGGCAGCGGATGTTCCAAAATCTGAAAATACAAATGAAAATTAAAATAAACAAGTAAAAAAGCTGTAAGCTGAATACCCTCCACCATTTGGTGTAAATTTTGGCAATTTTCAAAAAATAAAATCCGTTAAAAATTCTGTTAAAATCTTAAAAATACCGAATGTAGCCATATATTAGGGTCTATACGACGACGTGGACCTGCATAGGCAACTTTTTTCACAAGCTATTACAATATTCAAACGCAAAACTTGAAAAAAAAAACTTTTTATAATGTAGCTAAAATCATCAAAATGCCGAATATAGGGAGGTACTAGAGGGCTATAAAACGTGGCATAGGCTGTAGTATTCATTACGTACTTCAAATACTAAATTTGAAATAGTTCCGGTAAATAATGTCGCTAAAATCATCAAAATATCCAATGTAGGGAGATACCGTTATATGGGGTCTATACGAAGACGTGGACCTGCACAGCCTGTCATAGGCTGCTATATCCATTACGAAGTTTAAATACCAAATCATCAAAATACCGAAAATAGGGAGTCGCCGTTATATGGGGGCTATACGAAGCCGTGGACCTGCAGTGACAATTCTCTGTCATAGGCTGTAGTATCCATTTCGAACTTCAAAAACGGAATTTGAAACCTTTCTGGTGAATAATGAGACTTAAATCATTAAAATACCGAAAATAGGGAGGTACCATTATATAGGGGCTATATCAAAACGTGAACCTACATGGCCCATTTTCAATACCAAAAGTCCTGCAGATATAATATACATTTAAGTAAAACTTTAACAACCTACTTCATTGGGTTCGGAAGCTTCATAGAATTTTATGCTGATCAAGAATATATATAATTTGTGTGGTCTAAATTTTATGTTTCGAGGTGTTACAAACGGAATGACATACTTAATATACCCTCCATACTATGGTGAAGGATATAAAAATTATACAATGAAATACACTCACCTGTGCCCAATTGCCAAATGCAATCAGTAATACCCACAGCTTGAGAATTATTTAAGATTTTCAATGAATGCATTGGATCCCAATCGTTTGGAGTGTAAGGAACCGGTATTACCATGGTCCAGTCCAGGGCTCTAAATTCAGGAAATATTTGAACTTTTTTATTTTATTTATCCCTTTAATGGTCGTCTTACCTTGTCCATTTATTGAAACCCTTCCAGACAATCTTGGTGGGATTGCGCAGCTTTGTATTCTTTTTGGTGGCAAAATAATAGTCACCCACAAACTTCAGATGGGAATGACTTAACATTGAAGCCATACGCGTAATAGATTTTCTGTAAAAAAGGCGCCGCTATTTGTAAAACTTCTTTTATAGGAAATAAAGTCCAATTCTTAACTTACCTATGCGAACCATCCAAGGCTTCATACAAATCCTCTGGTTTCATGGTAAAACTTACAAATTTATCACTTACATCATTTACCGGTCGATTAATATTTAACTGCACCATAATATCCGCATTAGCAAACTTGGCACATAGTGCAATTGATAAATAAATTATAAATCTTTTCCAAGCCATTTTCCAGATCCTGGCTTATTAATCCCAACACAATTATATCCAAAATAAACACCACTTAACTTTTCAAATAGTAATACCCGAGTAACGGTATACAATTAATTGCCGTCGATTTTTAAACACTTTCTACGATGCCACTTCTGTTTAATAAACTCTGAAGCTGTTTTTAGTTTATATATAACTGAAAGCAAACAGCCAAGAAATGTTCTGAAATGAAAAGTCAGCATATTTTTGAAAAGTTCATTGAAGTTTACAACGTGCATGATGTGATACAAGTTCATTTGTTTTTTTTTTTTTTATTTCTCTGAACGCATTTTCTTCAAATCTTTGCGTACTCTTGAAGCGCATATTTTGTAAATTAGTAATAGTTATAATTCGACAACAATAAAAAACATCATTATATATATTGTTGGATAACATCGGCGTGAGAAATCGTTGTAAACGAGTTCGCGCTTCTTTGGTGTAGGCCAGAGATATACTTTGATAAAGGCAAAATATGCTTCATCAAAATAACGGTTTTAACCCCTAAGCCAACTGTCGATCTAACCATGTCCGTCTGTTCATGAATCTGGCAGAATGGTGTGTGCGATAATTTTCGAAGATAATATTCGATTTGGTCCGAACTAGGTACAATGGAACAGTTGCACCACAAGAAAAAGGCAATACCGGTCCACTCCTTAGGCCAGATGTGAAAGTCGACAACTTGCGCCCACTCCTTCCGGTACATACCCCACAAAGGGTAAATATTTTCTGACATCTGTTAATATGATAATAAGAAACCAGTAAGGAAAGCTCAAAAGTCGGGCGGGGCCGACTATATGATACCCTACACCACTATGCATATTTAGTAGAGCTCTCGTAAAAAGGTTTATACAGGGCATTTCAAAGCTCTATGAGATATTTGGTACAAAATCAAAATCTATCTAATTCGTGCATTTTACGAACTATAGCTATCTCTGAACCGGGTTTCTCCAAATTTGACGTATTAGCTTCTAGACTGAATTCGGTCTTATGTACGAAAATTCATGCCATTTGGGCTGATATAGGACATTTGATGCACAATTAACACGAAATCGGATGAAGATATATATGGGAGCTATAGCTATATCTGAACCGATTTTTACTAAAATTGGTGTACTTGCTTCTAAGCTGGTTTCGGTCGGATTTGCCAAAATTGATGCTATTACGGCCATTTGGTGGTCAATCACCCGAAATCGGATGAAGATATATATGGGAGCTATATCCAAATCTGAACCGATTTTGGTAAAATTTAAAACAGCTATTCCTGTGCTCCATCTAATACCTGGTACCAAATATCACGGTTGTGGAGTGAATATTACGAATGTAAGGGACTAAAACACTAAATCGGATGAAACATATATATGGTTGCTATATCTATATCTGAACCGATTTTCACTAAATTTGATATACTTGCTTCTAGACTGAATTTGGTCCGATGTACTAAAATTCAGTCCATTTGGACTTATATCGGCCATTTGGTGCACAATTAACCCGAAATCGGATGAAGATATATATGGGAGCTATATCCAAATCTGAACCGATTTCGATAAAATTACAAACAGCTATTTCTGGGCTGTATCTTTTATCTGGTACCAAATATCATTCTTGTGGAGTGCATATTACGAATGTGAGAGGCTTAAACACCAAATCGGATAAAACATATATATGGGAGCTATAGCTGTTGAACCTGTCTGAACCGATTTTCTCCAAATTTGTTGTATTTGCTTTAAGGCTAATCTCGGTCACATGTGCCAAAATCCGGGCCATTTGGGCTGATATTGGCCATTCGGTGGCCAATTAACCCGAAATCGGATGAAGATATACATGGAAGCTATATCCAAATCTGAACCGATTTCGATAAAATTTAAAACAGCTATTTCTGTGCTCCATCTAATACCTGGTACCAAATATCACGGTTGTGGAGTGCATAGTAGGAATGTGAGAGGCTTAAACACCAAATCGGATAAAACATATATATGGGAGCTATAGCTGTTGAACCTGTCTGAACCGATTTTCTCCAAATTTGATATACTTGCTTCTAGGCCGAACTCGGTTGGGTGTGCCAAAATTCAGGTAATTTGGACTGATAGTGGACATTTGGTGTACATTTAACCCGAAATCGGATGAAGATATATATGGGAGCTATATCTAAATTTGATCCGATTCTCACCAATTTCAATAGGGTTCGTCCTTGGGCCAAAAAAATATTGTTTGGAAAATTTCATCTCAATCGGATAATAAATGCGACCTGCATTTTGTTCACAAGAATACATGGACAGACGGACGGACAGACGGACTGACATGCATAAATCGACTCAGAAAGTGATTCTATGAAGGTTCTCAAAAGTAACTATGGGTCTATCTCGTTTCCTTCTCCATGTTACAAACAAATGTGTAGGTGTAGGGTATAAAAAGGGTCAACATTTTCTAGTACCTTTAAACAAATAATACGTCATACAAAATTAGCGGTATTGACTATAATGTATAAACGTCGTTTATAGTAATGCTTATATTACACCCAGGACATGTACAAAATCTTTTCTGTAACTCTTCAAAACCTTAAACAATCTTATCTCAACTTGAATGTCAAAATATTCCCCGATTTTATTAATATTTACATGGTAGTACATGAATCGAAACTAGGGCATACTCAAACTAAAATAAAATTTCTACAAATTTCACATATCACATTAAAGATCCGGTACTTCTTCTAAAATTTTTTATCATTTGGAAAATTTAATTATATATACAATGAAGTAAATAAATAATTCAATTCATACTTCCCACATCGTAATATCTCCCTTGTGTCCCACTCTTTCGAGGCCTTTTTCACGAAGAGTCAAAATTTTGTATAATCATTTCTTTTCTACGATGTAAAATAATTCTCCGGTTTTCCTCAAACATGCACATCGTAATATAAATGTATTACAGATTTATGCTAACTCCTAATTTCGCAATATTAATTCTAAAACGAGTTACAAAGTACGGGTACGGTACGTCATTACGGTATGTAAAGTTTGGTAAACTTGTTTGACCATTTGTGATAGAGATACCAAAAAATTGGCCCATATGTCTTATTTTCGTATTGATGTTTCAATAAATTAATATATTTAAGATATATTATTTAAAATATTGGCTATTTGTGTGAGCGATAACGAAGTGGGCCGAAATTGCCAACTTTCGAATTCTATTTGAGTTTGATAGAAATATTGCGATAGGCCAACTACGGTCCAAATCGGACTCTCGCTTCGAGAGTTATCGTTCGCGTAAATTGCCAATTACAATTACCAGATCGACTCCTAATTTTCTCTATTTCTACACTATTTCGATGAACCGTATAAGTGATAAATACCCTTTGTAACCATAAGTAGTATAATAAGAAGTATAAAACAATGGCTATGAAAATCGACACAAATTCATCTCAAGAGCATTTTTTGTAGAGGGAAATCTAAAGTATAATCTACTGAGTCAATGTCAGTCGTATATATTATAACTGAAAAAGCGACTTAGATGATTCTTTAATCGACAGACTGCTCGGATTTTAAACTCCCAACGAACTGCTGGTGTAATGGGATACACTACAAAATATTTAGTTCTATCAAAGTTATCGTATATAAAATGTCATGCTGTTACATTTATATAACAAATCACTATTACGAAAAGACGTTGCAGATTTTCAACGACAACGTCGCATATTCTTATGTATAACCTGTAAACAAATGTCTAGTGTGCTTCAAATATGCATATTTTTAGATTTCTATTTTAGTTTTGTTTATTATTTTCGTGTCTCTATTTTATGTTTTTAAATTATAGTATCTGACAAATAATTTTCAAAGATATTGTACTTAATGACCAAAGGTTCAATGATATTAACTGTGTTTTTGATTTGTGATCGAGTAAAATACAACTTTGACAGATGCTTAAGCTTTCAACTTGTAGACATTGCAATCATTTATAGAAATTTAATTTAGTTATTTAAATGATAATATAGAATTTAAATTAAAACAAAATTTACAAATACAATAGACCACTGGCGGCAGCATGAGCCATCAGAGTATTGGCAGCTTGTTGGGTTTCCAGTAGCAAACGAGTTTCCTTTAACCAATCGCTGGCGATTTTACGTGGAGCACCTTGCAAAAGGTTCATGTATTTCAGGGCCATCATTAAATCGCCACGATCAACGAAATACCTGTAAATAACAAAAAGTCCATTATTAGCCGAAATTATGTTTAACTTGCCCATTATCTTTACCTAGCTCTGTTCAAAATGTCATAAGTGTCCAATTTGCTATAATCGAATTTTTTGTTTTGAAGTTCATCTTGAGAAATGGGGTCATCAGGAGTTAAAATGAATAAGGATTGCAAGTAAGACAACATATATTTTGGTAGACTAGCTCCTTCCTCGGGGACAAGAGCTAATTTCCGTGCTACACGTTCAACATTTAAGAAACGTTCACGCAAAGCATCTTCCGGGAATACACCGCGCTCTTGAGCTTCCTTTGGTAGATTTTGAATAACTACAGCAACTAATTCATCACCCTCTATTGATCAAAAAATAATTTTTAATGAACAAATTTAACTTTGTTTATAACACAATCTGCAGGTTTACCGGCAACTTTGGTTATGGCCTTAATTTCTTTCTTCAGTGGACGCAATTTGTTCTTCCAATCTTCGCCGGGTTCACCAGTCCTGACTGTTGACCATAAAGCTTGACAGGCAGCCCACAAAGCTTGGGCTTGATGTGCTGAACGCTCCGACTCGGCACGAGCTTGAATGAAGAATTAAAATGAGTGGAAACACAACAAAAAAAGCATAACGCTTGATTTTGCAAAAAAACTCAAAATTTCTACAAATAATGTGAGGTTTTTAAAAAACAAACTGATACTACCTCTTAATTCAGCATCAATTTCTTAAGGCAGCATTTAAATAGTGATTTTATTGAATCGTGTATAGGTTTAAAAAAAAAACATTTTCTAAAACTTACCTTGCAAAGCAGCATCCATGCCACGTAATTTACCAAGCATAGCAGCCAATTGCAATTTATAATTAGCCTTTTCAGTTGCCAATTTATCTTCCAATTCCTTGGAATAGTTACGTTTTAATTCACTTTCCCTCATGCTAACGGCATCTTTCAAATGGTCCATATGTGCTTCAGCTTGTTGTTTTAAATGTTGGCGCAATTGCCTCTCAGCATCGGCACGAATTTGTAGAATCTTCTTTTGATTTTCAATGGCCAATTTACGCTTTTCTGCTTCTAACAGATATTCCAGTTGAGCCTTAACGGCCTCAGAATCGCTGTCGCCGCGCAAAGCATCAATGGCTCGCTTCAAACGCAATTCTCCATCTGTTTGCAAGCGTTGTAATTCCTTTTGAAGGGCCAATACATGTGAATAGGCATGGGTGATGAACAAATCTAGATCTTCGGAAGACAACAATAATTTCTTCTCAGCCAAATTTAAACCGGGGAAAATTGATTCAATCTCTTCTACGAAATAGTTACGGGCTTTTTCAACCTAGACAGCGGAAAAAATTATAATAATTAAAAAACTAGAATTTATGTATAAAAATTATCTTACATTTCTCCAGTATTTTTCCGACATACTAGCAAGGTCTTTATTCTTATAAAGTTCATCTTTGACAGTATTGATGTGGTCTACTAAAGTCTTGATCTTATTACGGGCAGCCAATATTTGCTCATGGTTTTCAGGTTTTGCAGCCTTTGCCAAAGCAATTTCACATCTTTCTAAAGTTGAAATAATTCATATAAAATAAATAATTATATCAAAACAAAATTATCAATTTTAATATTTACCAATTTTTTCTAAAGCTTCACGAGCTAATTTTTCTGCTGTAGACACAGAAGAATCTCGAGCACTTGTCTTGTTCTTTAAAGTTGTCCATGTTGAGGCATCAACATTTTCAACAGCATGATCAACAATGCGTCGTACATCATTATTAAAGCTGTGTTTTGTTAAAGAATTTGTTTAAAAAAATCCACAAATTTATATTCAAAATATTGGTTTACTTTTTCAAAATATCAATGGCCTTGTTGTATTCTTGTACAGCCACAGAAGCGGCAACTTCCACAGCATGTTGCAATTCTAATACATCAGAGGGCAAGGGTTCAACAGGTTTAGGGGCAGGTTTGGGAGTTGGTTCACTAACTTTTGCTGCAGGTTTTGTCTCGGGAGCTTTGGTAGCAGTTGTGGCAGGCACCTAGAATTAACCACTAGTATAAATACGTTTTAATATAAGTATTTTACATTCTTACAGCTTTCTGAACGGGAACAGCTTTAGATTTAACTTCGTCTACTTCTGCAATATAAAAGAAATGTTTTTAACAGTTTTTTTTAGATAGTTGACTTACTTTTAGGTTGCTCTTTCTCCTTATCCGACCCACCGAACAAACCAGTCACAGTTGAGGTGGCATTTGTTATTGTCTTGGATACTCCGTCAAACTGTTTTTTAACACTATCGATTTGATCGTTAATACCTTTGAAAGGATTTTCTTCTTGTAAAGCGACTTTTATAAGCGATTCCGCACCGGGAACATTTTGTTCGAGCGTTTTTCGAAATTCTTTGTCGTATCTTTTAGAAAAAATACATAAAATAATGCATTGTGTATTGAAAATATTTAAAAAATTATACTATACTTCGCATATGATATCGCACCGCCAACAATAGCAACTGGTGTCAATAATACAATAACTTTACCCAAGCCGGCCTCGCGAACATTTGGTGGTAAGCCATTGCTGTTGCTATACTGTCTGCGAGTTTGATGTTGCAGAGTTCTCTGAAAATATAGAATAAAAAAAGTAAAATTAGAATAAGCTAGAAAGAATGTTAAGTAACTATGACTGTATGTGACGGATCTATAAAGAGGCCTTCAAAAGAGTCAGAAAGGCCAATATTTTTTCATATATCTAGTTTGAAAATGTCTATGAACGGCATTCTTCGCACAGGAAATATTTAGAAGTGCATACATCAATAGGATGATTAATTTGTAATCTATACAACAATGTATAGAAAACTTATGGTATGAATTTAACTAAAGAGAACGTGTAGAAAGTACTCCATTAACAGAGGACTTATAAAATGCCTTCATCTATACAAACCTGTAAAAGAACGGTGGAATTTTTTAAACTATAAAGGATATTTTTACTAACTAAAACCTTTAGAAGGTACCCGAGGATGACAGAAAAACTTGACTATGGTTTATTAGATAAGATATTGACCGACAGTTGCTGGAGATTTTAATTCAATATTACTTGTTTCACTATCCTTCTTGATATCTGTGATATCTTAGAATTTACCCGTGCGGTTAATAAAAATGATCGGTTTCAAGTTTGTCTAAATGTCCGTCCCGTAATGGTTCTTCCTCATACAAACGTTCCGAAAATGGGTTTTATTGTGAGCTTGGTATTTATAAACTTCTTAAATTTCCAATTTATTTCAATGTCAAACATCGAAATAAACGATAGCATCAGCTGGTCTTTACATTCGTCAAAGAAATTGACCGACCATTCCGCAAAGCAACTAGAGCAACATTGATTTGCACGCTGTAACCATCAACTTTGTAGCATTGACCCTTGTTTTTTTAGTTTCCAGATCTGGTCACTGATCTTCCTGAAAATGCCTGCATTGTATACCACTAACATAATTATTTGGAAATGCTGCAGTTCCAAATCCAATGGTGACATAACAGTACGACTAATTTTCGATATTTGTGAGTGCCACCACACAGCCATACATGGGCAAGAAAGGTGAGGGGCAATGGTTATGTTTTTGCACACAATGCTACACACATGTCGTCAGTGTGAAAGATGCCTGGCCCCATCGTCAGCTTTTTAAACTTACCTGCAGAGCACTTTTGCAAGGCTCCCTCAAGGCCAAACGATACATGATTCTTTAGTCAAATATTCCGTAAATTTAACGCTAAACAATTTTGTTAGAACCGGCTTTAAGCTCCGTTTTCTTCGTAGGAAATCTCTTCCCGTAATCAACTTGACCAAGAGCACAGCAGAATAACTACAGAGAGAAACGAATTTAAGACAGTTGTCAAACTAACAGAAAAAGTAATGACAGCAACGTATGTCAGAAATGGGAAAGGGCTGGTGAATGTGTTTCGGTTCCAAAGATACCGAACAAAATCTTAATTGAAGAAATTTTCTCATTTCTTTTTATGTTGTTTTCTTTACGTTATAAATCCGAACTATTTTTTACATAGAAATTCCACATAAGTTATTAAAAATAATTTCTAATAAAACGTAAATAAAATTCTTTTAAACGAACCGGTTCGATAGTGAATAAAATGGGTTCACACATGTTCAATGTATTTGACAATTTCCTTTGTTCTCTTTTATCGAGTTTCTTTCACGCGTATTTTCTGTTTTTGGTTATGTGATTCGATGGAGAATAAACTATTCTAATAAAAAATCGATTCTTTAATAAAATATGTTGCGTTCAATAATTGGGAATGGTAATGTTGAATTAATACAAAAATGTATTAAATACTGATATTATCCTTTGTATTTATTTCAGCTCTAAGGAGCAGCGTTTCATACGCTACAACAATACGTCCGACGACCGTGGCTGGTCCAATGCAGAAGTGCTCATTTTCCTCATTACAAGTTAAATCCGCCGGCAATAATCCAGTTTTTCCCAAATTGTCACTGCCATCTATCAACGTCAATATCCTCCAACAGCCTTTGGCATTGCAAACACAACAATCCCGTAGTGTTACGAAATTTTCCCTTAATAAGGGTAAACGTAAAAGTGTTAAGGCAGTTATAAAACGTTTCAGACGTCTAGATTGGGGTGCTTGGATTCGTACATATACCGGTCGTCAAAAGAAATTGTTCTCCAAATCTCCAGAACGTAGACGTCGTTTGCGTCAGCATGTTTTCACCAATTCCACACAAAGTTGGCTGCTCGATAAAATGGTAACAAGCTATTGGCGACGACCAAAAAATTGGGTAGATGATATTTATGCTCCATATCATAAGCGCGATGAGTTCTTTGCCACCAAAAGTAAACCATTCAAAGTGTAAAAAAAAAATTATAAATGTTATAATGTTAAATAAATTGAAAAGTAACTAATATATTACCTTGATATTTGTTATGTGAACCACGACACAATAAACTAAATGTCCAATGTACCTAGAAATGTGCAGAACTCATAGGTATGCCCAAAAGCTATTTGTTATGCGGCTTATTAAAGAGGTTAATTATTACAAGTAAAAAAAAGGGGATTAATGCGGCCGGACTGATATGACACCCTGACTCAGTTATTTCTATACATTGTATTTACAAGTAAAATCTGTTTTTGTAACATTTAGAATAAAAAACAGTAATTTATCATAGACTGCAACTCAACTGTAACTGCTACAAAAAAAAAAACAAATATAAGTTGCAATTTATAATCGAGAGAAATAAGCATTTCTCTTAAAAATGTCGAACCTTAAATATACATTACATAGGCCCAAATATGGATATTATCAGTCTGCGTACTATATAATCTGAGCTTATTGTAATAATTTGTAAAGAGTAATAATATCGTACTCAGTTACATTTAAGGTCTTCTAGCTCACGACATTGAAGACTTCTAAGGAGTAGGTACAGGAAATTCTATCAGAGGTTACAAAAAGAGCCAGATTCAATTGGGTCAGGCATTCCCTTATATATTCACTTAGTTCCAACATGCGTAAGAAATAAAAAAGTTGTCGATTTTTATACCCCCTCCTTGAAAAGGAAGTCTTTGTATACATGTCATAGTACAAATAAATAAATAAAATTCTTAGTCGATTTAACAATGTCCGACTGTTTGTCTGTTGAAATCACGACACTGCCCACATTATTTGACGTAGAACTTCAAAATTTATCACAACAATTTGTACTGTGTCTAGGATTGTTGGTATTGAAAATGATATATCGGTAGTTCGTGAAGAGCTCCGGTGGTGGAACATTGTACATATCATACATATCGTATAGCCCCCATATAACGCTACCTCCCAATATTCGCTATTTTGAGGATTTTTTGCCACATTTCCACGGATTTGTCTGAAAATTGGTATTTGTAGATCATAATTGGTTCTAGCTCCAGTGGCAGAACATTTAATATTCAGGTCCACGTTTTGCTAAAGCGCACATATAATGGTACCTCCCGATATTCGGTCTTTTGGTAATCTAAGTCACTTTTACCCAAGAAATTGTTTCAAATTTGGCATTCAAGACTCGCAATAGATAACAATCCTTGTAATATAAAATTATCTATATTCGCACTCGTTTTGGTATGGTTCCCATATAACGACTTTGCCCATTTTTTTAACTGTATTGAATTAACTGTTTGAATTAAGATACTTTTATGTACAAATTTTTCTTTACCCAACAGTGGAGGCCCGGCCAAACTTAATATTTTTTATCCAAGCAGAAAATTTTGTCTCTATTCTTATTACGATAACAATAACAACACACAATTTACTTATTATTGAGAAAATCAACAGTCTTGTTTCACCGTCTGTGCTAAACTAGTAAATTCTTTTATTATTTCATGTGAAAAGTTGGAAAGTTCAAATTCGCATATTTTGACATAAATAAAAGAGTACAGTAACATCTTTCAGAAATTTAATGACCATAGATTATCTTTGCATTTCGATAGGATATTCCAATACTACTAAATACAACTTTTTTATTTATTCCAAAAATATTTAAAGTAAAAGTATCCTCCTAACAATAAGAAAAAACGTCATACGTCACGCGTTAATAATTAGTTTTTAAATAAGGTACACAAATTTTCAACCCTGGCAATGTGTTACCTTTATACATGTGTTCGTTTCTCACATTTTAAAAGTACAAATTGATACACAACATCAACAAGTCAGGTTGGCCGAGCGGTCTAAGGCGCCAGATTTAAGCTCTGGTTCCCGAGAGGGAGCGTGGGTTCGAACCCCACACCTGACAAACTTTATTCTCATTATTTTTAATATTAGTTTTTTTGCTTACAATTATCTAAGCTCATTGAAAGGGGTTTCTTCGAATAAGTGGACAACAAATGATCTACTTCCCAGTTATCAATTATATTATCGTAGTGGTCTTGGTTTAGATTTTGTCGCTTTCCACATAAGCGTTAAGTGTAATTTTGTCTGTTTGAAAAAAAAACTTGTAGCAATATATATATATTTTTTTGAATAGCATTATTTATGTTTTTACTACGACTTTTTCGATTGCAATATTCCCATTGTATGTATGTCAATACAATAATTACAAAAACTGAACTTTTTCATTATTTAATTTTTTATTAAATATAACACGAATAAAAAACATATAGCAAAGATATAACATTTAATAAATGCACATTGTTTTAAACTTTATGTTGATTTTGGGAATTACAATGAAACAAATATATGAACAAATTGCACATGGTGTGTTAAAATTGCCTTTTTCTGGTGATATAAGGTAATATAATTTAGGGTGCTACAACTTTGTTCACCAATTTACCCAAACATTGAATTTCACTTTCAATTACATCTCCAGGTTTAAGGTATTCTGGAGGATTACGATGCATGCCAACACCTTTAGGTGTACCAGTTAAGATTATATCTCCAGGCTGCAATGTTATTGATCTAACAGAGAGAAGACATTAAAATGTATTTACAAAATAAATTATCTTAATTTATACTTACTGTGATAAACGACTAATAATGTCGTCGATTTTATAAATCATGTTGTTAGTATTACCGTGTTGTTTTTCAACGCCATTTATTTTGCAAACCATTTCAAGATCATGTGGATCCTTAATTAGGCTTTTGTGTACAATTGATGGTCCAATAGGTAAAAATGTGTCCATAGACTTGCCAATTAAAAATTGTCCACCATTACGTTGCTTTTGCCAGTCACGTGCTGAAATATCCTGAGCAACACTGTAACCAAACACATGATCCAAAGCATGTTCGCGACTAACATCCTTGCATTTCTTTCCAATTATGACAGCCAGTTCAATTTCCCAATCAATTTTCTGTTTTAAAATATGAAAATTTTAAAGTGATTTTCAAATTAATACATCACAGTGTAGTAGTGCATTCAAATAGATATAAAGTAAAAACTTTAAACGGTAACTCCGCTGAGTTGCTTGATAATTCGGCATATTTCGATTTTTTATTGTCCCTACTTGTAACATATAATAATAAATTCACAATATATAATAACATTTTTTTACATGTGTATACATGTAACAATAATATGGTTTCAGAACCTATTCTACGAACATGATTCTTTGCAGTGTGTTCCACTTTGAAACGATTCTAAAATATTGTGTATTGGCCTTATTCCTGAATTAAAATAATATCCTGATTTTTAAAACACCATTATAATTTGTTCTTTTATACAACAATTCACATAATGAATGAAAAACTCTGTACATTTACCTACATTATGTGTATATCTCGAAAACTAGAACTGATATTGGAAAATTTACAGATAATCAGAAAGGGTATGCTTGAAATCATCAAAATTGTCGTGTGGATCACTAAGCATGAAACTGACGATATGGATATCTGTATGTTTTATGATAATAAATATTGAGATATGTATTATAGGTAAGTGTTTTTATTTGTTTATTGCAAATAATTTTGTTTGCTGTTTATTTTTCCTATCAACACTTGATAAAGATAATCTAAAGCATGGAAGTATGTTAATGGTCAGTTTTGCTTCACAATGCGTCACTACTTTTCTAACTATTTTTTTCTAATTGTTACTTACATCTGTAATTTGATGGGCAATGACATTGCCCCTTGGGCCAACCAAAGTATTGTTGTATTTACTAAAGAACATTGGTTCTTTTGGAGGTTCCTTATTTTGTTCTTCGCAATGATCTTGATAGTTTAGACCAATGCAGATAATCTTCTCAGGATTGGTAACGGGAGGTAGCAATGTAATAGAATCATTCATCTCTTCGCTTTGGAAATTTTTCAATTTATCTTCTAATTCCGAAATGGAATAATTCTGTTTGATGAATGCGACCATGTCGTTTGAAACACATGATCCACTAGATAACTCCACCAAAGAAGTGCCATCTTCGGATACAACACCCAGACGCTGGCGTTCATCATTTTTACGTAAGAATTGAACAAATCTCATTTTAGGTGCCTGTTTCCTTTAAAAAATTCCACCAAATTAAGAAACTATTTTTATCAACTGATTGGAAGTAATAAAGTCAATGTCACCGTTTCTGCAAATACATACGTTTCACAGCTGTAGTAACGCATACAACCAAAGGTGGGGAGAGATCTGTGCATGTGTTGCCTCAAAATTACTCCAAAAACTCTCAGAGAACCCATGTTTACGCAATTTAACTAAAAAAGTCTAAGAAATTATAAACATTAACTTATTGCAGTAAAACTTGCTGCTTGATCACTTATACCTCTATGAAATATCAATATAAAGGTACTGCTTTTTTTATAATTTTGTGATTTAACTGAAAATTTCGTTTTTTGCGATTATCAAAGAAAAACACCGAAAAATTTATTTGCTATTCAAAGTGGACTGTTAACATATCATATCATATGGTAGATGTACTTAAGAAGGTAGAAGCATAATAAGTTTGTGACAACATATTTGATATTTGCACAAATGCTCTCTTAAAGAAACAGCAATAGAATAGGCGAGTTTTCTTACTTCAATTTTTTCGTTTTCCATTGAACTAGCCTCTTGTATTTTGTTGCTTTAACTCTAGTTCAGTAAAAACTCTTCATTTTTTTGCAGTGATACGTATTTTTACCCTGATTTCGGGAAACAATTTTTTTTCTTGGGGATTGGACCCGTGACCCCCAGAGTTTTGACCCGGGGCCGATGTAATATAGGTATCGTTGGAAAGAGAAATTATTTGCCATTACCTTTCCCCTTACCCCTCTCTCTAACAAACAGAGATTTGCCACAAGTAAACTTGCCTAATATAAATTCGAGCTTACTAAACATATACCTAAAATTCTTCTTCTTCGGAAATAAACAAAGTAGCGTAGGGCCAAAATCCAACTATAGTTGGGAATACATAAAGCGCTTATTTGGCTGGCATAACTCATCTGCTGGTTTCTTCGTAGAGGAACAAAGGAGTTTTAGGTTAAGTTAGTTCGATTTTGGCCCTAGGCTCCTTGGTTCATTTCCAAAGAAGCCAGTCGATGACTTGAACCAGCCAAATAAGCGCTTTATGTATTTCCACTTTAAGTCAACCTAAAGCTCCTTTGTTCCTCTACGAAGAAGCCAGCCGATGAATTAAGCCAGTCAAAAAAGTGTTTTATGTACTCTCACCTTAACTTATATAAATCTATGCCATCCACCGCCCGTATTAAAGGTCTTCATATACAGTAAAGACCTTCAATGGATTTAAAGGTTCTCTCAAGGTACATGTATGTGCCAAAAATAGCTAAAAACAAGTAAGCAAAGGCTACAGTCGAGCGGGGCCGACCGATGAATACCCTACAACACTATAAAAAACGATACAGTTCATATATGCGAGATACTCGAAAGAATTCCACAAGATATTGTGACAAATAATAAAAGAAAACAATCAGGTTTCGTTCTCTAATTTTGGAATAATAGCAACTTAAACTAATTTGCTCATTTCCAATTTTTGGTAGATGTTGCACGTAAATGGTCTTCCTAGATCTGAAACCAATATTTCCCAAAGACCTATAATCTCTCAGAAGTGGCAAAAGATTAAAATTTATTATTGGTTTTTGACTGAAACGCATTTATATAAGATACAGACATTTGACTATACGAAACCAGCGTTAACGAAATAGTCAGAAGTGCGTCTTTCCTTTATTTGTGAATTCTCCAAAAAGTCACTGGAATGGACATTTTTGTATTTTGTCTACAAAAGTTGGCAAACTATTTCACACATTGAATATTTTTGGATGGCCATCCAAAACTGCTTGGCTTTTGCAATGTCCGGTAACCCCCATTCAAATGTGCGTGAGGATCAGGCGATAAATACGACCGGCTGACAATTTTGCAGTTTTTTGGTCCATTTCAACCCCTAAATATATGACGATCATCTCCAAAAAGAGTAAGCTTCTATTCTGACCCTCATCTTATCTCCATGCTAAACTTCGTAAGGATCGGGCCATAAATGCGATCTGTATATGATATCCTAACTACTTAGTTTTGTTAGCTGTAGAAATATTACCAAATGTTTAATTCAAAATGAAAATATGCCAAAAATATGACAAAATTGAAAAAATATGAGAAAATATTACAAAATCAATGTTTTCATCTTTAGAGAGATATTTTTATGCGACTTTTTTAGACGGTTTTTCTTTCCTGCAAAGAGGCCATTCTGAATTAATGAGAACTGTCGAAATCAGTTCAGTCGTTCTCGACATATAAGAGATCTTTCAAGCATATCTTCTTTGATAGACATATATATCGCACATATTTTGCTATATATCCGATTTGTTGGATGTTAACATCAATGTAAAGGTCAGAAGTAACCTTGTCATGGCTTTGTGAGTTCGCCGGGACTTAAAATATTCGCGGTTTAATGAAAAATTTTGCATTTTTTCAACACAAAAGATATGGTCTATTTCACCCTCTAAACATTTTCCGATGACCACCCAAATTGGTAGGCTTCTTCCCCGCCCTAAACTCTAGCTACATGCGAAATTCCGTGTCGATTGGTCTATAATTGCGACCTGTAGAGCAACTGGAAAATCAGGAAATTTTTCAGTATTTGGTCCATTTCAACCCCTAAATGTTATGCGATCATCTCCAAAAGAAATAGGGTTCTATTCTAACCCTTACCCCACCTCCATTATAAATTTGGTGAAGATCGGGCCATAATTGCGACCTGTAGAGTGATTACAAATTAACATGGACAGACGGACATACATAGCTAGATCGACTCAGCTCGGCGAGCTAGGAAGATCCATATATACTTTCCTATGTGGGAAACCAATATTTCGAGGTGTTACATAAATAAATATAATAAAGAGACAATTAATTTTGAAAAATGGACTTAAGGCGAGAATACATAAAACACTTTTTTGACTGGCTTAAGTCATCGGCTGGCTTGTCACCTCTCCTTTAATCGTTTCTAGAGAGCAAGTAATGGTGGAATTAACAGAGCAATTAATAATAAACATTTTTGGAGCGTTTCTTCACTTCAAATCCATCAGAGATTTGATAGTGTGCGAACCTAGACACGCCAAACTTTTGACATATATGTTTCGTCTCACTATTTTCCAAAATTGTAAAATACTAGAACATAAATAGTAATGTTGTGGCTGTAGCAGACGACCTCAGCCCCGTAAAATTTTTCTATTTTAGACATGTAGCGCCTAGAAGTTCATGGATGCCAGGTTTCGTTTACTTTTGACTGCCACAATGTGTCAACAATGTCAACAACAATTATAACATTAAATATCATGTTCATTATATCCTAATTGTATCAGACATTTTTTAAATGCAAATTGTTTTAAACTTTGAATTCGAAATGAAAAACAATGTCAAAATCTTAAGCAGATTAAGGATATCCTTCAAGATTAACATTTATGGCAGGATTGCGCAACAAACAAATTTAAGGCGTTACAACTTTGTTCACCATTTTCCCTAAACACTGAATTTCACTTTCAATTACGTCACCAACTCTAAGGTATTCGGGAGGGTTACGATACATTCCAACTCCTTTGGGCGTTCCAGTTAAGAGTACATCTCCAGGCTGCAATGTCATAGACCTAATAAAAAGAGAAATCATTTAAACTATGACTTACAAATAAATGAATATCATTCGAACATACTCTGATAAGCGACTAATCATATCATCTATTTTGTAAATCATGTTGTCGGTATTGCTGCGTTGCTTTTCAATTCCATTTATTTTGCATACCATTTCAAGATCATGTGGATTTTTAATAAGACTTTTGTGTACAATCGATGGTCCAATAGGTAGAAATGTATCCATAGATTTAGCAATTAAAAATTGTCCACCGTTACGCGACCTCTGCCAGTCACGCGCTGAAATATCCTGGGCGACACTGTAACCAAAGACATAATCCAAGGCCTTTTCCCGACTAACATCTTTGCACTTCTCTCCAATTATGACAGCTAGTTCAATCTCCCAATCCATTTTCTATTTGAGAAAGAAAATGGTAGACAATTCTTCAAATATATGGATATATATGTATATATTTTTTTTCAATTTGTGCTTACAGTTGTTATTTTATGGGCAATAACATTACCCCTTGGACCAACAAGTGTGTTGTTGAATTTACTAAAGAACATTGGTTGTTTTGGGGGTTCCTTGTTCTGTTCTTCGCAATGATCTTGGTAGTTGAGGCCGATGCAGATAATCTTCTCAGGACTGGTAACAGGAGGTAGCAATGTTATTGACTCATTCATTTCTTCCTTTTTGAAATGTTTTATTTTTTCACCCAATTCCGATATGCAATAATTTTGTTTGATAAATGTGATCATATCATTCGGAAATCCGGATCCACTGGGTATTTCTGTCAAATAACTTCCATTTTCGGATACAACACCCAAGCGATGACGTTCTTCATTATCACGTAAAAACTGCACAAATCTCAATTTTGGGTCATGATTTCTTAAAAAAAACCCGGAATATTGAAACATTTTTTTGATTAATTAAAAGTAAAAACGCAGTTACATTATAAATATTCAAACGTATATGAATTATATAAGCATTCTTCAAAGTATGCCCTAATTACATTAGGGTGGAAATACATAAAGCGCATATTTGGCTGGCTTAAGTAATCGGCTGGCTTCTTCGTTCGATTTTGCCTCTAGGCTCCTTTGTTCATTTCCGAAGAAGCCAGTCGATGACTTAAGCCAGCCAGATAAGCGCTTTATGCATTCCTACCTTTAGTTTGTATTCATTATAGAAAGGAGTCTTTGGCCAAAAAAGCGAATATGCCATTGTAAAATAATTTCAAGGTAGAGAAGAATGATTAGATTTGTAGAAGACAATCCTGGGGCTGGATTCTTGTACTATGAAAATATGAAATGAAAAATATTTCCTTTATAATATTTTTCATTTAACATCTCTTTCCTTTATAAAAGTTTTCATTTCACATTTTCATAGAACAAGAATTGAGGCCCTGACGCTAGACTCTTGTTACTTCAAATTTACCAATAAAAAATGCAACCAATTTGTTTTTATTTGACATTTTTTTCACAATTTTTAAAAGAAATTCGTGAAAAACCAATGAGAGGTCTTGGATTTTTTAAAACATCGAGTTCCAAAAACAATTGCAATTCCATGGACTATACTAAAAAACTGAAAACAAATTGATTTGTTAAAACACACAGTCCGCCAATAAAAATATAACAAGCCATGAAAAAAATGCTATTGGACTTTCAATTGCCAAAATAAAAATGTTATTATGATCAGGTTGGCATAATCATTTTAACCTTGTCACCTTGTTTTATTTTTTGATTTGTGCATACATAAACAAACATCAGATGATTGAAGCTCATATATATGACGTGAACAATAATAGGTGTGTCTGGTTACCCTAAAGTTTGTAAAAATTGTTACAAATTGTTACTGGAAGTCGTCTGTTAACCCAAAAGTTCTGCAAAAGAGAGCGGTTGGAGAGAGAAATTTTGACAGTTCTTTCAGTGAGAGTTTGCAAATTCTTGCTGGAAAAATTTCTTCTTGCAATCACTTGCAACTCTTCTTCTTCTCATTCATCGACATTCAATCAGATGTTTTCTATTGTTTGTTTATTTCATTTTGTGCTTTCAATTTGAAAATATTTTTTTGGAATTAGCAAGACTAATAGTTTTTGGAGAACAACTTTACAAAATGTGAAAAACGTAAATGTTAATATGCAATAAGAAAATAAACGACTATTTCCAACATTTTTATTTAAAAAAACTGTAAAATTAGTATTGCTTCCTTTGTTTTAATTCTCCTTATGTGGGACAAATTGGTTTGTTTTGACAAATCAGCTGATTAGTTGCAAGCTTCTGCAGGAATACCGTCTATTTACTTTTCGCATTTTCCTTGCAAAAGAGAATAAAACTACCTTACTCTCTCAGAAAGAAGTTACTGGACAATTCCTGCTGGAAAAGTAACCAGACACACCTAATAACTTGCTACGTTATCTGAATGAACACAACTAATGTAAATGCGCTATAATATAATCAATGTCAACATTTTTGCAAATACGTACGTTTCACAACTGTAGTAACGCATGCAACCAAAATTGCGGAGAGAACTATGCGTGTGTTTTCTAAACATTGCTCCAAATACTCTCAGAGAAACCATGTTTGTACAATTTAACTTAAAAGTATATTGATGTAATAAAGTTTGTGTTTGTCCATTCAACGGGTGTACCTAGTAATATTTTCTGTTTAATAGTTGTTTTTTTTAATATTCCTTTATTTCAAACGAATATACCACTCGCCTTGCGTTCTTCCTGATTATCAAACACAAACACCAGATTATCAATTTGCTATTCACATAGTAATGTTAGCTAAACATATGCCATATGAGCCGACGATGTTTAATATAGGAGCATCCGTGGTAAAAGAATAAAAGAAGAAGAAAAATTATTAATATTTTTAAAAATTGTTGAAAAATGTATTTATAACAACCTCCGATTTGTATCGTATGAGAAAATATTTAAAAATCTACTTATTTTTGACAAAACATTTAAACATTTATGACATATGTTCCCAAGCGTTGATACATCCACCTATATTCTTCTACCGTGGGAGCTGTTCTAGCTTAAAATATGGCCGTTACATTTAAAAGCAAAGCAAATCTGCAGAAAATACAGGAATCTATCACTTTTTTACAATTTTAGCAAATAGATCTTAATGGTTACCCATACATTTGTTACAATTCCCAAAAGTTATTACTGGAAGTCGTTTACACAAAAGTTCTGCAACAAAAGAGTTTTTCGATAGAATTTTGACGGACACATTTCATCTTGCAATTTGCGCATGATTTTTTCATTTTCTTTTGGTTATGTATTGGTTATAATGTACAAATTTCTGCTGAGTGACGCTTATATCCTCCTAAGGAGGTATCTAAACACAAAAGATCAACTGGATCTAATAAACCCAGTGGGTCATGTTACAAAAATGAAGACAGCTTCGTAAAACTACTGAAATGCCAAAATGATATTAGAATTATTCAAAATCAGATGCAACAATTTATTTGCATTTTTTATATTTTCCATGGTAGAATCAAGGAGGTAAAGTCAAACAATCATATGTTTACAATTTTTCAAAATTATTCTTTTGACAACACCTCATTGACAAAATTTAGGTTTATAAACTCATTGTACATACACAAATCAGAGATGGGAACCTGTTTTTATGTAGTGAAATTTGACAAGGTAAATTACAGAAAATGTAAAGATGGGAATGCTTTTTTAAAATGACTTTACATTCTTAATTTTACCGTGATATTTTCTTTCAAAAATATGATCCAAACTGTTCAATCTTTGAAGTCCTCGCCTAAACTGATAAATATATTTAATACGCGCCCGGAAATGTACGCGTTTTCCAATCATTGATTTTGAAAATATTTTGTTTTTATTTTTTAAAACAATAAATTCATTATGGTATGGATAAAATAAATTAGAAAATTGGTTATCTTCCGTTATCGGTTTGTTCATTCTTGCAGTTCTGGAACAGATCATAAATGTGCAGTTTATAATTTTTCCATAACCTTTCTTTTGACAACGGCTCTGCTGTGTTCCAGAACATGATTTGTAATTTTTTTCGATATCAAATTGAAAATCGTAGTAAAAACTTTTGTATTTTAAGGTGATAATACATAAAATGTTTTTTTTGACTTTTTTGTCATCGTGTTGGCTATTAAAAATCTTGTGTTTTATTGTTTTTATTTGTGTGACGAATACAAAGAATTGTGTTGTGTATAGTTTGTGTCTGTTTTATTTAGGAAAGACACGCAGAAATCCACAAATTGTCTAAGGCTGGAAATACATAAAGAGCATATTGGGCTGGCTTAAGTCATCGGCTGGCTTCTTCGGAAATGAACAAAGGAGCCTACGGCCAAAATCGAACTAAGTCAACCTACAACTCCTTTGTTCATCTACGAAGAAGCCAGCCGATGACTTAAGCCAGCCAAATATGCTCTTTATGTATTTCCAGCCTAACGTCATATGACTTGAATGAGGAACGGGCCGTAAATCAGCGTACAAGAAAACATATAAAAATCTACTTATATTTGAAGAAACATTTTAAAAATTTTGACATATCTATGTTCCCAAGCGTTGATGCATCCATGGTACAACGAAGAGAAGGTAGGCCAACTTTGAAAAAATTGCAAGTATAGAGGTCTGCCTGTTTGGCTTGTAATGTCAGAATTAGTATCAAAACAATAAAAAGTCAAACAACTTGTTGCATTTATTTTGAATAAATAATTGAAAACCGCGAAAACTGAATGAAAGTTCAACACTTCTTTTCAAAACCAGGTTCTATATGTCTCTAAAGGATTATTTCGCTACAAAAACTCTAGATTTTGTCAATGCATACGATGAAATAAACATTTTGAAAACATCCGAATTTGAATGTTTTCTGAACAATTTTTTTTGTTATTGAAAAGAAAACACATACATAAACAAAAAAGATGACATATTAAGCCAAGAAAATAAATAAAAATCATATGGTATCAAGCCCTACCTTCTCTTCATTGTACCATGGATGCATCTGCCTTCATTCTCCCGCCATGCTTTAAATATATGCTATGGTAGAAGAATACAGGTAGATGCATAAGCACCGGCTTAGATTAAAATGTCAAAAATATTAAAAGTATCTGCAAAAATAAGTTGATTTTTAAATTGGTTCTTATACAATACCATTCAGAGGACATTATGGCAAGTGCTTTTAACTATTTTAATCAAATTTATTGAAAATATTCTCTATACACCTACCTCTATTACTCGTTTATGATGATTTCAACAAAGAATTTGTATTTGTCTCCATAACCCAAAATCTGTAATTTTACAATTATATTACGTTTATGTTCGATTTGCTCTGTTTTTACGTTGGAGTTTTTTTTTCTGGGATAAACTTCTTTATGAAGACTTATTTGAGGTATATTCAAAGGAATTGAAAATTTAAGTCGACTGGGTTTTCTAAATCTATTACAACGTTATCGTACTATAATTATGTTCGACTAGGACGAGGAATACCAAAATGTAAGCAAACATTTTGTCTAATCAAATTTGCCGCAAACTTAAATACCAAGGCGAATCTACTTCTTTCGCCATGGGGTGCCAATTTTAGCATTAAATTGCTTCACAACAGTTGATTTGTTCTTTTAATCTACCTTGAAGTACGGTAACTCTACCAAAATATAATAATCTGTTAAACGATTGATCGATAGTCGACTTACGTATCCCTATTCACACAGCTGCTAGCTTCTGAAGGAAAGGAAAGGTAAAGAGCGAGTTTGCAAAATTTTCTCAATTCAAAAAATAATTTTAACAATTAAATTTTTAGTTGCTCTGGGCATTTGTGAAATTTGTAACATTGTAAAGACAGCATAATAATGGCTATGTTAGCTAGAAATCTTGGACGCACTCTTGTGCAGGTGAGTAGTTGTAAATCGTCGATGAATACTCTCCGTATGCGGCACTAGCGAGCGCTTACATAAACACTTGATGCCCCAAACGCAGAAAAGAATAATGTCTTTCTTTGTGAGATGAAAAATGTGTTTGAGGTTATAATCCTTTGAAAAAGATAAAACATATCCTTCGTTGTTATAAATGCGATATTATTTGTGTTGTTTTCGTCCACAGGGTCTTCAGACAAGCGCTTCGCGTTCAATTCAAACTACAGCTGCTGTCAATAGTGTAAGTGTATTTAATGGGGGAAATTAATAGAAAAACTGGTCAAACTAATATCTAATTATTTGTTTATAGGATCCCGGTACTCATGGTGGTAATCGCACAACATGCACTTTGATTCCTGGTGATGGTGTTGGCCCTGAGTTGGTATATGCATTGCAAGAAGTTTTTAAGGTTAGTACATGTTTTGGATTTAGAAGGGTTTGATAAATAAACTCATTCTTCCGGGGTTCAACTTTCGTTTTAGGCAGCCAACGTTCCTGTCGACTTTGAGTCCTATTTCCTTTCCGAAGTCAACCCTGTGTTGAGTGCTAAATTGGAGGATGTTGTAGCCTCAATTCAAAAGAACAAAGTTTGTATTAAGGTAAGAAATAATTGTATATGATGAAAGTGTTTTGGGAACAATAATAAGTGCATCGATATAAGAATCTATGAAATATTAATAATAACATAATTTAATATGGTTGATACATTTCTTACATATTACGATTTATTTATGTATAATTGGGAATGGAAAGAAAACCCAAAATTCATTTAAATGGAACTGCACGCCTAATACTCTAGAGATTTTATCAACATTTAAAAGCAATAATTGAATTTATTTTACATTCACGTGCTATTCTAATTAAAACTCTCTCACTGAAAAAATATCCATGATAACGTGTGTCAACAGGCAAGTTGTGCAATATCAATACATGATATAAACACTACTTTTGTGTTGCATACATAAAGTGAAGATAGACTTGATCTTAAAAGTATATTCTATCCATTGTTTCCATGCCTTTATGAGCTACATTTTCAATTTTGTTAAATATAATTGTAAATATCTTCTTTATAAAAACATCAACATCAATGGTATTACTCTCCTATTTTATTTAGCACAGTTTTACACGCTCAATTAAAAGTCTAACTACTAATTACTGTTGATTTTCCTAGGCTTCTATTCTATTATAAATAGATGATTTTATTAGAGACAATGTGTGTGTATCTTTCGACAATGTGCATGGAAAACAATATTACATATTTATGACTGCGTTGACGAGTATTTGCAATCGACAATTAAGACAATAAGTTGAATGGACATGTTTTTGTAGTTTACAAAATCGACAGGGTTGTGTGAATGTGTCATTTATTTACTTTGGTTTTTGGGAAATATTTTATCACGCTGTATTCTTCCGCATAATTTGGATATTTGTCCGTATTTCAAACCAAAAATACCAATAATTTCAATCAAACATTACCTTTGAGATAAGCAGCGAGCTGAGTTCTATACCCCCAAAACTGTCCCCTTATGCGTTTCCACCATAAGAGCTTCAATTAACTATTTCTGTTTTAATAAAAAGATTTAGATCCTTAGCAACCATAAATAATTTACGAAAATATGTATTAATTTTACTTTTATATTTTTAGGGTATTTTGGCCACACCCGATTACAGTGTTTGCGGTGAATTACAAACTTTAAACATGAAACTTCGTAACGAATTGGATTTGTATGCCAACGTAGTACATGTTCGCAGTTTACCCGGTGTTAAGACCCGTCATCAAGATATTGATACCGTTATTATTCGTGAACAAACCGAAGGTGAATATTCTGCCTTGGAACACGAATCCGTACCCGGTATTGTGGAATGTCTTAAGATTATCACTGCCAAAAAATCAATGCGTATTGCCAAGTTTGCATTTGATTATGCTACCAAGAACAATCGCAAGAAGGTTACTGCCGTTCACAAGGCTAACATTATGAAATTGGGCGATGGTTTGTTCTTGAGATCATGCGAACAAATGGCCAAATTGTACCCACGCATTCAATTCGAAAAGATGATTGTAGACAATACTACCATGCAAATGGTATCTCATCCTCATCAGTTCGATGTTATGGTTACACCAAATCTATATGGTAACATTGTGGATAACTTGGCTTCCGGTTTGGTTGGTGGTGCTGGTGTTGTTGCTGGTGCTTCTTATTCTGCCGAAACTGTCGTATTCGAACCTGTGAGAATTTTTATATTTCCATGTGCTTTTAGATTTACTGATAAACTGTGTTTATTTTTTAGGGTGCACGTCACACCTTTGCCGAAGCCGTAGGCAAAAATGTTGCCAACCCAACTGCTATGTTCTTGTGCGGTACAAAAATGTTGCGTCACATCAACTTGCCTTCCTACAGTGATATGATCAACAATGCTCTCCACACTGTACTTAAGGACGGCAAAGTCAGGACCAAGGATTTGGGTGGCCAATCTACTACTCAAGATTTTACACGTGCCGTCATTGCCAACATCCATTAAGCATTGTCTTTAGGGAGCCGATCACAACCAACAACAATAAAGAATAACAAATTCTTCAGTTGCTTTCCTTTTAAAACCAAATACTAAGTTAAAGCTGTTGTGCAGGAAGCCAAGATTCAACGAGGTGTTGCTTTCTAACTTGTTTTAAAATACACTAGCACCTAGCCACCTTCCCTTTGCCGACAACCTAACTCTTATTGTTTTCTATTTTTTAACTTGATGTATTTTTTCAACTTTAAGTATTAATTTGGCGAATATTTTTTTTCACTTTTATTTAAATCCTACATCTCTTTATATTTTAGTGTGTTTTTAGTCAATTGTGTCATTGTCTCTCCCCCACCCACCAATTCAAATGTATTGTATTAAAAATATAAATTGTTTTATTGTATTATAAAAAATCCTGCCATCGTCCCCGTCAATCAAGTTTTTATTTATTTTTGATTTTAATGATTTTATTATTTCGAAAAAAAGAAGATAGAGGCAAAGTTTTCATATAATGGCAGACGAAAGGTGTTCATGTTATTGTCACAATATACGCCTCAACAGTTACCAAAACAGTGTCTCAATTTGCATGCAAAACTTACTCTACAATATTTTTAAGATCTTAGAAGGTATAAACTGTTTAAAGAAACAATGTTATGATACAACAAAAATATACACAAATTATTGAAGGTAACAAAAAAGAAAAATGGTTTTATTGTAAGAGTGGTCAGTAAATGGAATATAAAAATTATCGTTATATATATCGTTGAATTGATTTAAATATTTGCAACGCTGAGAAAATTTGAATGTAACCACTTTTTAACTACGTTCATATTCATGTTACGATCGAGGCCTTCGTAATGAAACATTTTCCAAAGACTCATTTTTGCCTTAATTATTGTAAAAAGTAATTGCAGATTTTGGACAATAAATGAAATTTTTAAAAGTCAGTTTCTGTAGGACGGACAAAGAAAAAAAAAAAAAAAAAAACACCATTGCAAATGTGTTTTTTAAACTTTTGATTTAACTCAAAAAAAAGAAGTGTGAGAAACACATTTGAATGGTGTTTTCTTTCGCGGTCACATTCGGTACGCCATACAGAAACATGCTCAGAACAGAAACAACTAAGTTCTTTTCCTTGGTTCGGCCAATTCTTTAAGACGTGGTGTTGCTTTGGCTTGCAATGCTTTGCGAGATACCCGATACGCATCAGAGCGATTATTTTCATCTATGTAATCTTTGGGATTTGCCAATTCTTGGACACGTTTTGATGCCACTGCCTTTAAGGCTTTTAAATTTGTTTTAAATGGATTTTCGGGATGTACTTCAATTTTGACTCTAGTTTTCGCTGGTTCTGCGAGGGCTTTAATACGTCTTGAAGCTTAAAGAAAAAAACGATAGCAATTAATTTATTACTTATCATCTAAGAGGAAAATTTAAATTATTTTGCAATAATTTGAAAAATTAAACACAGCATGTCAAACTCATATGCACTTTCTGATATGATTGAGGTAATAACACTAGATTTACCTTTATAATTTAAAGCATTCTGGGGAATACGATGAGGATCTTCCCTTGCAGTGAGTTCATCGTATTTTTTGGGTTGAGATATTTTCAATAATCTTTCAGTAGGTTTAAAGTTTTTCAAACCTTTCGTAAACATCCACTCATTAGGGATGATTTCTTTGCGTATCCTTGGTTTGCTTAATTTGCGAATACGTCTCATTTTCGGACCTTCACTTCGGAGACGATTCCTTGACCGATCTTCTTCGACCTCAATTATTTTCTTTGGTGTTGAAAGTGCTTTCATTCGCTGCACAAGTTTTGATTTATTTTCCGTATTCCACGATTTTGTTGGAGTTCTATGGGGAAATAGAATGTACTTAAAAAGCGAAATTTTTGTATTGTATTCAAGTGCAACAATCATCGGTGTAAAGTATTTGACGTGACGTCTTCGAGAATTTTATAATTTTCTGTTCCCAGTGGGTAGAGAAATTTATACAAAAACAGGTAAGCAAAGGCTATAGAAGTGCGGGGCCGGCCATGTGATACCATACAACTGTTAGAAGCCCCCTTATGTCCAAATCTATTTTGGAAGATTTCGCTTTTGAAATTATGTCACGGAGCACTGCCCACATATTACCCTTAACATTTTGACAAGGGACATTTGCCCAATATGTACATACTCCGTTGTGCTGTTAGTTGATGTAGTCCATTTTACAGCTAAATATAATCCAATGCTCATACAAAATGCTTGAATTCTTCCCTGTCCTTAACTCTCTTCTCAGGCGTGTCGATTAGCTTCAATTGTGTGATCAGGATTTATTTTCTGTTTTTGGTTCATTTAAACCCCTAAATATTTTCTTATCATCTTCAAAAGCAAGAGGCCCCTCAGTATCTTCAAATTTAGTCTCATCTATATAATTTGCTTGTCCACGATATTTGGCTATATTCGTCAAAGAAATCAGCATAAAAAAGCCAGAAGTTCGCCTTTTGTGACCTTTATGGCGGCTGCAAAATCAGGAACATTTTTAGTTGTTGGTACATTTAAACCCCCAAATATATTGTGGACATCTTTGAAAACAATAGACCTAGCCCTTCTGAGCCTAACCCTACCCTTGTGAAAATTTTCGTTGGATCGGAAGATAATTGTAATCTGTATATAACCTCAATCTGTAAAAAAATATTACAAAATGTACGATATTACAACATTATAAGTCAAATGGAAACCAGTAAAGAAAGTCCTAAAGTCGGGCGGGCCGACTTTATGATACCCTACACACTTTGCTAATTTAGTAGAGCTCCACATAACAATTAAAAGTTTTTATGGGAGAATTCAATCATTCACGCTATGATTATAATTATAATTTAAAGTTAAAAGGACTAAATATGCCGAAGCATTTGTATCTTTTAAATTCGGACTTGTATTGTCCTTATGGTGCAAAATTAATTTGAAATCAGATAAAGATATATATATCCAAATCTGAACCGATCTTGATAAAATTTGGCAAATATATTTCTGAACTGTATTTGATATATTTCCCTGAATATCGTTGTTACGGATGCATAATACGGCTGTGGGTAACAAATACAACAAATCGGGTGAACAATATAAATGGGAGCTATAGCTATATCTGAACCGATCTTCACCAAATTTGACATAGACTCAATTCGGTCATAAGTGCCAAATTCCATCCCATTTGGACAAATATTAGACGTTTGGTGCACAATAAAAGGTAAATCGGACGAAGTTATATATGGGAGCTATATCCAAATCTGAACCGATCTCGATAAAATTTAGCAAAGGTATTTCTGAACTGCATTTAATATATTTCCCCAAATATTGTTCTTACAGACTGCATATTGCGGCTGCGGAGGACAAAAATAACAAATCGGATGAACAATATATATGGGAGCTATAGCTATATCTGAACCGATTTCAATCAAATTTGGTATACTTATTTTCAGGCCTAATTTGGTTGTATGTGCAAAATTCCATATTATCCGGGTTGATATTACACGTTTGCTGCACAATAAAAAACAAATCGGACGAAGATATATATGGGAGCTATATCTAAATTTTTACCGATTATCTCCAATTTCAATGGGGTTCGTCCTTGGGCCAAACAAATGGATAATAAATGCGACCTGCATTTTGTTCACAACAATACATGGACAGACGACGGACGGACAGACGGACTGACATGCATAAATCAACTCAGAAAGTGATTCTATGGAGATCCTCAAAAGTAACTATGGGCCTATCTCGCTTCCTTCTCCATGTTACAAACAAATGCACAAAGACAAAATACCCTTACCACTATGTGGTGTAGGGTATAAATATCGCATGCGATAAAAAATATGTAAGAATAAAAATATGTCACAAAATACTGCAAAATCTATATTAATTTTATAATTTTATGCCAAGAGGGCATTCTGAATTGACAAAATTTGTCAAAATCGGTCTAACCATTCTTGAGATATAAGCATTCTAGATCACATCCTCTTCCTTTCTATATATTTCGCTATATATATCCGATATATTTACTAACGGCAGACCAGAGTGTAATTGGACAACTTCAAAAAACGGGCTTACTTGGTTTCTTCTGGTACTATGTTTTGCAGGCGGCTATAGACGGATAGATAGCTCTTTCTCATTAAACGATTAACTCCACTTTTTCGAATATCATTGAAGACACTGAATGAGGGATGGCTTTTAAGTTGGCTGAGCTGTCTAGAAATGAAAATGCTGTTATAAGATTACCTTTCAAATGGTGGTGTAAACAATTATTGTTTTGAGCTTTAGCATGTGCAACATCTAAAAGAATGCAATAAACATTTTCGATCCTAACTCCAAATATGTACCTTAACTGAGGATACGCCAACTGTTCAGTGCGGGTTCTTTCGGTTTTATCACATTTATTTATGATTTCAACTTTACATGTCACTGGACGTGGACATTTCTTTTTCTGTCGATATTTCGATTTTGTATGTTTTGGCTGGGCTAATTTCCAAATTTCTTTACGTTTTGTTATTACGCGGCTATAACGGTCACATAGACGGTAATAATTTTGAATTATTTCACTCCACATATAATTATATTGCGGTGGTATTGAATTACTTTCTAATGGGCAATTTTGTTCAAAATAACGCATTTTATACACAGGAATTTGTATGAGATTTATTAGGATATAGGAATATAATGTAAACAGAGAAGTAATTTTGACATCTAAAGTGACACAATTATTTCGTTTGGTACATGGTACAATGAATTCAAGGTAGGGCAGAACTACCATATGATTTAAATTTTTTTATTTTTCTGGCTTAATATGTCAACTTCATTTGCTTATGTGTGTGTCTTCTTTTCAATAATAAAAAATTGTTCAGAAAATATTCAAATTCGGGTGTTTTCAAAATGCTTATTGCAACGAATGCATCGACAAAATCTACAGTTTTTGTCGCGAAATAAACCATAAGAGATATATAGAACATGATATTGAAAAGAAATTTTGAGCATTCATTCAGTTTTCGCGGTTTTAAATTATTTATTCAAAATCAATGCAACAAGTTGTTTGCTTTTTTATTGTTTTGATAGTAATTCTGACATTACAAGCCAAACAGGTAGACCTCTATACTTGCAATTTTTTAAAAGTTGACCTACATTCTCTTCATTGTACCATGGTTTGGTATATCTTTAATACTTTGAACTAATAACATGTTTACATACACATTTTTATCAGGAGAAAACAAAGAAAATATGAATGGAATAATGGAAATATTCCTCAAAATTTAACCCAAAATCGAAGGATAAACAAAAATTGTAAAATTTATTACCCATTAATGTATGTTTAGATTTACGAAATCCATTCGATTAATTCCATAGCGTATAAGTCATATAATATCGACTGGATTTAAGAATACGATTTACGCATTGTGGAAAAATACATATACAGGGTGAGATAAAAAAACTGCTACACAACAAAACGCCATAATTTTTATAATTTTTTTTTTTAATTTTATGGAATGAAAGCAAGAAATGTCAGAAATAGCGTCAAATTTTAGAATAAGTTTAGATTAACTCGAATTGGACACCTTTGGCATGAATTATGGCTTTTAAATGTCCAATGAAAGCGTCACACGCTGCCCGAATGTTGCTCTGCGGTATTTTGGCCCATTCCCGGAGAAGCGCTTTTAGTGCCAACATTGCTTTCCACAATAGTCCAACGGATTGGTATCCGGAAAATTTGGTGGTCAATTTTTGCATATTTTAAAGTATATTTGACACTATAAGACATATTTTTTAAAAATTATTAATTTGACTACATCTTATTGTCAAAATACATACTTACAAATCCATTGTATATTCACAAATCAGAGATGGGAAATCTTTTATAGCAGTGAAAATTGACAAGATTAATTACAGAAAAAGCAGAGATGGAAATGCTTATTTTTAGACCCCACAAAGTATATATATTCTTGATTAGAATAAAATTTTATGATGATTTATCGATCCGTCCGTATGTCCGCCTATCCGTCTGTGGAAATCACTCTAGCTTCCGAACGAAATTAAGTAGGTTGATAAAATTTTACTCAAATGTGTATTATGTCTGCAGGACTTTTGGCATTGAAAATGGGTAATGCGGGTCCACTCAGTATTTTGGTGATTTAAGCGACATTATTTACCGGAAATATTTCAAATTTAGTATTTGAAGTTCGTAATGGATAGTATATCCTAAGAAAGAAAATTGTCAGTGCCGGTCCACGTCTTCGCATGACCCCCATATAACGGTAGCTACCGATATTCGGTATTTTGATGATTTTAGCGTTATTTTTCACCGGAATTGTTTCAAATTTGGTATTTGAAGTTCATAAGGGATACTACAGCCTATGACAGAAATTTGTTTGTGCAGGTCCACGTTTTTGTATAGCCCCAATATAACCGTACCCCCGCGATATTTGGTATTTTGATTATTTTAGCGACATTATTCACCGAATTTCCTCTTCAAGTTTCGTATTTGAATATTGTAATGGCTTATGACAAAAGTTGCCTATGCAGGTCCACGTCGTCGTATAGACCATAATATAATGGCTATATTTGGTATTTTTAATATTTTAACAGAATCGAACAGAACCGATCTTACAGCTTTTTTACTTGTTAATTTTATTATGGTTGCAACTGAATTTGAATATTTTCTAAAAAAAAAAATAGACATGCCACTGATTGTCACGCACACCTTATTAAATATACCTTGCTTTTAATTACAAATAAGTCATAAAAATTATTCAAAATTGTCGTGTAAAAAATTTATTGTGTACAAAAAATTAAAACAAGATTTTTTTTAAAAAAAATGTGGCTTAAGGAAAGCAGCCCCCAATGTTGTGAAGTTCATGAAAAGTTGCCCAATGGCATCAAATGTTTTCTTCCCGATCTCTGTACAGAATTGGAATATCTGCAATGTTTGCACGGGAAAAGCTTTATTAAAAGCCCACGCATAATGTCCTTGGCCAAGCCAAAAAATTTCAAAAGAACACCACGTTATGTTCCCATTTGTGCATGTAAACTGAAAAAGCCAGTAGAACTGGTACATTTGGATCAACGGGAAAATACAAGAACTGAACAGTTGTCCTATCCCAAAGCAAGGTTCTTCGTTTGTACAAATTTTGTAGTTAGTCAATAATCCTATTTGGGTATTGTTGCAGAAAATTATTGGTGTTCAAAGAAGAAATTAAGAAACGATTTCCCCCGGACCGCATAATGAATTTAAATCGTTTGATACGAAAAAGTTTGCTGTCACTATATAGTCGTCTGGCGAATGTTCAACCACCAGAAGAGAAGTATATTCTGATATTATTTATGTATATTTTTTTGCAAAAATATTGTGAAACATTTTTGTTTTTTTTTTTTCAAATTTAGACAACCCATAAGTAAGTGGGACCGAGCCGAATGGGCAAGACACTTGAAACGGTTAAGAAAACTTGCCAGGCCCAAAATTCCTAAGCCTCCACCAAGAATTGTAAGTAGTCATTTAATTTGTTGTGAGCTTCCTTATAGCAGACATAAAAATATAGAACGATTTTTTATGAGCTATAGCAAAATTTTTCAACAAAAAAAAAAAAAAAGAAAAAAAAAAATACACAAAATTCTGAAAAATCAATTTTTATACCCTCCACCATTGTATGGAGGGTATATTAAGTTTGTCATTCCGTTTGTAACACCTCGAAATATACATTTTAGACCCCACAAAGTATATATATTCTTGATCAGCATAAAATTCTATGTCGATTTAACGATGTCTGTCTGTGGAAATTACTCTAGCTTGCGAACGAAATGGAGTAGGTTCATAAAATTTTACTCAAATGTGTATTATGTCTGCAGGACTTTTGAAAATGGGTCATGTAGGTCCACGTTTTGTTATAGCCCCCATATAATGGTAACTCCCGATATTCGGTATTTTGATGATTTAAGCGACATTATTCACCGGAAATGTTTCAAATTTGCTATTTGAAGTTCGTGAAGGGTACTACAGCCTAAGTCTAAAAATTGTTTGTGCAGGTCCACGTCTTCGTATAGCCCCTATATAACGGTACCTCCCGATATTCGGTACTTTGATGATTTTAGCGACATTATTCACCGGAATTATTTCAAATTTGGTATTTAAAATTCGTAATGGGTATTACAGACTATGACAGAGGATTGTCTGTGCAGGTCCACGTCTTCATATAGCCTGCATATAATGGTACCTCTCTATATTCGGTACTTTGATGATTTTAGCGACATTATTCACCGGAATTGTTTCAAATTTGGTATTTGAAGTTCTTAATGGATACTACAGCCTATGACAGAAAATTGTTTGTGCAGGTCCACGTCTTCATATAACGCCGATATTGGGGATTTTGATGATTTTAGCGACATTATTCGCCGATTTTTTCAAGTTTCATATTTGAATGTTATAATGGCTTTAGAAAAAATTTGCTTGTGGAGGTCCACGTATTCCTACAGGTCCCAACATATCGGCTTTATTCGGTATTTTTAAGATTTTAACAGTATTTTTAGCGGATGTTATTTATTTATTTATTATTTATTTATTTTTTTTGCTTTTTTTACTTACTTTTACTTACTGCTTTTTTACTTGTTTTACATAGGTTGCTTGTCAGATGGGCAATCATATAGGTTTCCCATTCCTATTTACATAGTAATGAGTTTTGGCAGTCGCAACTACTTACAAGAGATTTTATGCTAGTTAATTTTTTTTTAATGAAATCCATTACCATTGCAGCCGAATAAGCGAATGCCACTAAAAAGAATGAGAAGATATAAATTCCTATCGAAGCCGATTAAACGTCAGGTTGATGACAAACCCGATTGGACATTGACATATGAAATGAAAAAATTTAAACCTTCAGATCGTCTCAAGGATTTAGCAAAGCCCATGATACGTGATACGTCAATGTTGTATCAGGATTTGCCAATAAAAATACCTCAAACCGCATTAAAATACAAAGGTTGGTTCACATTTCTTATGTCAGGTTTTACCTGATACTGAACAAAAATAATACCACTATTTGTTATAGCTTCAAAACGAACAAAAGATCTATCCCAGCCCAATGCTATTAGGACTACACAGCTGACTTCGCCAGAATTACGCGAAAATCCCTTTGCCATATCACCCAATGCCCTAAAGGCGAAAGCATCAAAGCGTACCATAGAATTGGCTGAACCCAAGGAATATGAAAACAAACACATTCGTGATAATCCTTTTGCCATATCTCCAGCAGCGCTTAAGGCTAAGCCTAAGCCACGCACCATCGAATTAGCCAAGCCGAAAAAGTAATATGTAAATTGTGTTAGTGCTACTGTTTTTCGGAATATATCGTTTGAATTAAAGTTGAAAATTCCATAGTATTAATTAAAAAAAAAACTAAATTTGTTGTAGTTCAATATTTTATTTACTATAATTTATTATTGTGCGAATCTATATTTTTTTTTTTGAAAATAATAAAAAGTTTACAAATCTTAATATAATATATATATTTATAAATATACTTAGAATAGCTGCCAAGCCCGAAAACATATTTACGTATTTTATTAATTGTACGTTGACAACACACAATCATAAAAATATGTTTTCGTCGGCTCATTCGTTTAAAACACGGCCCGAATGCTGCTCTGCCGTATTTTGGCCCATTCCCGGCGAAGCGCTTGCTTGAGGTGATCGACACTTTGGTATTATTAAGTGCCATCCTTGCTTTCCACAATACTCCAGACACAATAGTCCAACGGATTGGTGTCGGGAGATTTCGGTGGCCATTGTTCGCTGGAAATAAAACGAGGAACCTCATTTTGTAACCATTCTTGGGTGGCGCGTGCTGAGTGCGATGGTGCTTTTCAATATTTGCCGAATGGAATATTGCGATATGTTCAGCTCACGAGCCGTTTTGCGGATAATGCGGTGCGGGTTTCGATCAAGTCGCTTCTTTCCGGGCTACGCTACCAGTATTACGATAAAGAGCGATGGTACCATACATAAAAGATTTATTCAAATTTAAATGCTGGAGTGCTCTAACGAAAGCCACTTGTGGTTTTCCAGCCAAATATAAAGAAATCACACTATCACGCTTGAATTCCATCACGAATAACTTTTTTCTCGGAAAATTCTCACCAAATTGCTTTTGTACGCCAATAAACGATATGAGCTGTCACTGAAATAATTTTAACAGCTGTCGGACGAGTGGCTTAGAAATGACAGCAGTCTGAAGTTGGTTGTAGTTTTTCCATCTCACCCTATAGTGTGCTAATTTTAAGCTTTATGTTAGCTAAAATGGCTAGCTTATCAAAATCGAGCTAAATACTCGTGGCTGCCAATATTTAATAGCAGTTGCACTTTAAGGCCAAGCCTTATTTCATTAGGTGCTGCATTTAAACACTGATCAAAAATAAATACATTTTAAGTCTTTTTATACCCTACACCACAAGGTGGTCAGGGTATTATGTCTTTGTGCATTTGTTTGTAACAGGCAAAAGGAAACGAGATAGACCCATAGTTCCTTTTGATGATCTGCATAGAATCACTTTCAGTTGATTTATGCATGTCAGTCCGTCTGTCCGTCCGTCCATGTATTCTTGTGAACAAAATGCAGGTCGCAATTATTATCCGATTGAGATGAAATTTTGCAAACAACATTTGTTTGGCCCAAGGAGGAACCCTATTGAAATTGGAGATAATCGGTAAAAATTTAGATATAGCTCCCATATATATCTTCGTCCGATTTGCCTTTTATTGTGCACCAAACGTGTAATATCAGCCAGAATAGTATGGAATTTTGCACATACAACCAAATATGTATGCCAAATTTGATCGAAATCGGTTCAGATATAGCTATAGCTCCCATATATATTGTTCATCCGATTTGTTATTTTTGTCCTTCGCAGCCGTAATATGCACTCTGTAACAACAATATTTGGGGAAATATATCAAATGCAGCTCAGAAATACTTTTGCTAAATTTTATCGAGATCGGCTCAGATTTGGATATAGCTCCCATATATAAATTCGTCCGATTTACAATTTATTGTGCACCAAACGTCTAATATTTGCCCAAATGGGATGGAATTTGGCACATACGACCGAATTTAGTCTAGAAGGTAGTATGCCAAATTTGGTGAAGATCGGTTCAGATATAGTTATAGCTCCCATATATATTGTTCATCCGATTTATTGTATTTGTTAATATGCACTCCGTAACAACGATATTCAGGAAAATATATCAAATACAGCTCAGAAATATCTTTGCCAAATTTTATCGAGATCGGTTCAGATTTGGATATAGTTCCCATATATATTTTTATCCGATTTCAAATTAATTTCGCACCAAATGAGCAATACAAGTCCGAATTTAAAAGATACAAATGCTTCGGCATATTTAGTCCTTTGAATTTTAAATTATAATTATAATCATGGCGTGTATGATTGAATTCTCCCATAAAAACTTTTAATTATTAAGTGGAGCTCAACTAAATTAGCAAAGTGGTGTAGGGTATCATAAAATCGGCCCCGCCCGACTTTAGGACTTTCTTTACTGGTTTTCTTATTGTTCTAATGCAACATGTAAGGATGTTTGTGCGGAAACTTTTGCGACTTTGGCGTTTACCGCAATAAATAAACTCTGTCGTGGGGAGATCTATTTTTATACCCTCCACCAAAAAAAGTATGTAGGGCATATTAAGTTCGTCATTCCGTTTGTAACTCATCGAAATAATCATTTTAGACCCAACAAAGTATATATATTCTTGATCAGCGTAAAATTCTAAGACGATTTAGCCCCGTCCGTCTGTCCGTCTGTTGTAATCACGCTACAGTGTAAACGAATTAAGATAGGAAGCTAAAATTTTGCACAGATCTCTCTTTTGTCTGCAGGCAGGTCAAGTTCGAAGATGGGCTATATCGGTCCACGATATCGTATAGCCACCATATAACGGTACCCCCGATATTCGGTATTTTGATGATTTTAGCCACATTTTTCAATGGAATTGTCTGAAAATCCACACAAGTAGTTCCTTGTGGGTACTTTATACCTCGGCAGACAATTATCTATATAGGTCCACAATATTGTATAGCCCCCATATAACGGTACCCCCACGGTATTTGGGCAAATATTATACCTTTGGTGTACAATAAAAAGTAAATCGGACGAAGTTATATATGGGAGCTATATCCAAATCTGAACCGATCTTGATAAAATTTAGCAAAGATATTTTTGAGCTGTATTTGATAAATTTTCCCAAATATTGTTGTTACAGAGTGCGTATCACGGCTGCGGAGGATAAAAATAACAAATCGGATGAACAATATATATGGGAGCTATAGCTATATCTGAACCGATTTCGACAAAATTTGGCATACTTATTTGCAGGCCTTATTTTGTTATATGGGCTGATATTACACGTTTGGTGCACAATAAAAGGAAAATCGGAAGATATATATGGGAGCTATATCTAAATTTTTACCGACTATCTCCAATTTCAATAGGGTTCGTCCTTGGGCCAAACAAATGATTTGTGCAAAATTTCATCTAGATCGGGCAATAAATGCGAACTGTACTTTGTTTACAAAAATACATGGACAGACGGACGGACGGACAGACGGACGGACGGACGGACATGCATAAATCGACTCAGAATGTGATTCTATGCAGATTATCAATCATCATCACTATGGGTCTATCTCGTTTCCTTTTGCCTGTTACAAACAAATGCACAAAGACATAATACCATGACCACCTTGTGGTGTAGGGTATAATGATAATAAAACGTGGACCTGAACAGACAAAATTCTGTAATAGACTGTATTATGTATTACAAACTTCAAATATCATATTTGAAACAATTCTAGTGAATAATGTCGCTTAAATCACCAAAATACCGAATATCGGGAGGTACCATTATATGGGGGCTATGCCAAAACGTGGACCTACATGGCCCTTTTTCAACACCAAAAGTCCTGTGGACATAATATACATTTGAGTAAAATTTTATCAACCTACTTCATTTCGTTCGGAAGCTTGAGTTATTTCCACAGACGGATGGACATCGCTAAAATATAATTCCCAGACATTAGTTCCAACAGGCTTAAGATTTAAATCGCTTTAGAGTCGAAGCAATGATTCAATCCAGAAATTTGTTATTCAGTTCAAGACAATTTTCAAAGAAGACACATTTTGTTTTATTTTTTATGTTATTTTTTTTTTGGTTTTATTTTTCATATAATAGCAGTATTCATAAAAAATACTGAAAGAGTATGCTCCATGTTCACATCATTTTTGTTTTGTTTGTTGTTGTCTTTTTGTTTATTATACAATAGGTAAAGTACATTTGTTTGGTTTGTTTTTGTTTGTTTCATTTTTTACTATCTTTGTCAGTTATTTTACAACATTTGATTTATTTATCCTTTCTTTCTTTTTTGTTTGGGGATATATTCCATTCTTTCTGTTTTAGTGGCTTTCAAATATTTGTATTTAATGGTTTTGTTATTTTTTATACACAATTTCTCTTTGCTCATTTAACCGCCGATTTGTTTATAAAGCGAAATTCTTTTTTTTCAGTAATTTTTGTTTTTAACTTTTAGAAATTTCATAATCATAATACACTAAGGTGTACTCATATAAAAAGTAAAGTAGGAGAAAAGAAAACAAGTTAGTTTCGATTAAAACAAGGGAAAATTGAGATATTCTCGTTTGGTAAATTTTCACAAAATAAAAGTTTTAAAAAATCATTTTACACATTCATAAATAGCACATATTGAATTACAATATACAATGAATGAGAATAATTTTTGCTTTTTAATTTTGTTGTATTTTGTGTGTTGTTGTTTTTTTTTATTCAAATACAAGGGCCGAAAAGTCCGGGCCTATTCACAATTGATTCAAGTCAATTAAGAAATGCTGTATAAATGTCTAAGATTATAACATAATTTAGGACAATATTACGCATCCTGATGGCTGGGAGACTAGAATCAATTTAAAAAAAAATGAGACCCGAACTTTTTTTTTTAATTTAGTTTCCAATAGTTTTTCTTCCAGGGTTTGTTTGTCCTTTTTTGTTTTGTTTTGGGAAACCCACTTAAAATGCAATGATATTTTTGTTTTGTTTAATTTTTGATAATTTAAAAATGTTCTCTGCCTTATTTAGTAGACAAATAATGCCATATATCTTCCATTTAGTTGCTAAATTTTAATTTCCATTTTTTTTTGGGGGAATTTTGTTGTAATAATATAATAATTTTCCTATATTTTTGTGTGTGTTTAAATCGTATACGCCTGAAATGTTAGATTTTCTTTTATAATTATAATATAAATATTAATTTACAACATTCATATGAGATGTTTATAATTTTGTTGGGTTTGCCAAATATTTACCAGTGTTTCCAGTATGTGTAAGTGTGTGAGTGTAAGTTTATTTGTTACAATTTAATTTTAAGGTTTTGTTTT